AATGGAGGAAGAGCAGTGGGCTAGGAAAGTTTTCAGTTATTTGTACATGAGGAATGTAGATACCAAATGGAGAAAGCGAACTAGAAAATTATCAAGCAAATATTTGGGCGGCAGTGGGGGCGCCAACCAGGAATTACGGGTTAAGAAAAGGATAAAAGAAACAGAGAAGGGTCTGTGGGAAACGGGTATGCAGACAAAACCAGCACTGGAGACGTACAGAATGTTCAAACAGGAAATTTGCAAAGAAAATATCTACGATAATTCTAGGGGAAGCTCTTTGTTGTTTGAGGCCAGGACAGGAGTATTGCGGACTAAGACGTACCGGGTGAAATGGACACTTTATGTAGTGTGTGTGGGGAGCAGGAGGAAACGGCTGAAGACTTAATACTTTTCTGTAAAGGGCTTCACCCAACAGTTAACAGTGGCCGGGCGGATTTAATCAAAGCATTGGGTTTTAAAGACAGTGAAGGAAAAATAGACTTTACACGGGTAGAAATAACCAAGCGGAGGTTATCAGACTGGTGGCTAAAATCGAGGCAGGGGTGAGATTTAATCTTGGAATTCAAAACATATAATTAGATTTATAATGTTGGCTAGGTGGCGCAAGCCACCGCCCGATTCACAGGGTTTAGCCAGATCCATCCATCCATCCATCCATGGCAGGCGAGGAGAAACCTCCTCGCCCATCGATGGCAGGGGGCGAGAGGCCTCTAAGGACTCCGGACGAGACCGAGACGCAGGCAGTGGCAGGCAAGTGGGTGGCGACCGGATCTAGGGTAATCGCGGGACACGAGGCCTGGGGGCGTTCTTTGTGTTTAGCTTTGGGCTTAACGTGCGTTTGTAAATATTTGTGTAATGTAGCTTGTATTTGTAGTTTAGATTGAGTGTTTTGTAACGTTGTGTTTTATTGTTCCAATAAACTGGGAGCGGAATCCCGCTCCCGTGAAAGAACCAGGCTGGACTCGGGTTGTTGACGGACCACGTGGGAAACGGCGAATCGGCGGCGGTACGCGATTTCCTACAGAGTGTCAAGCGCCGTTCACACCCTTGCAACCGAGTACGACCGAGAAAGACCGAGAAAGACTTCTTGGGACCGGATGCACTGAGCGGAGCTGGTCCTAAGAGATCGCAAGAGGCTTAACAACCGGTCTGGTCTCTCTCGGTCGCACTCGGTTGCAAGAGTGTGAACGGGCCTTCAAAGCCACATGATAACCAGCTCCGCTGCCGCGCATCCGGTCCTAAGAAGTCGCAAAAGGCTTAAAAACCGGTCTGGTCTCTCCAGGTCGTACTCGGTTGCAAGAGTACGACCTGGACTATTCCGTCGACGGACATGAAGAAACCCGACCAACGAGTTATATACAGCTTCGCTGCAAAAACAAGTGAAACCCCGATTATTCAACCCATACCTTCGCCACTCTGAGAAGCTTGTCAACTTCAGTGTTGATCCTTGTCGCTTGCTGGGCCTCAAGTTGACGCTGGCTCTGTCTCCGTTCACGGCCCCCTTGTTGCAACGTCTTCATCGCGGAACATATAGTAGCCACGTGAAGGCGTCCTAGCCAAGAATGTCGCACCACTCAGTTTGCAATTTTGCTGGTTTGCAAGAGTCTGTCTTTAAAACTGAGACTGGACTCGCAAAGGATAGGAGAGACTCTGGGGAAGGAGGAGAGACAGTATTAGCGACTCGAATCAATGGTCATGAAATATCACGTTGGCGACCTTCAAACACACGGGCACGCCCTCGCCCCAGAGAGGAGTGCACAGCGTTATTTACAAACAAGACCCATGGGGGACCGTATAACCAATAGAGCTCTTGTGTTGTGGGAGATGGGATTTGTAACTGTTGCCGTGTATCTGTTGAGCTACCTCATAGAGCACATGCTGAACTCCTCCAAACGCTTCCCTTTGGCACCTTTAAGTGGTGGGTGGAGACCCACTAAATTTTATTGCCCTCCTATGCGGGCATCTGATGACCGTACAAAATTGAATATGCGAGCATATTCCAAACCTGAGAGGAGCCTCCTGGAAGTCTCGGAGTGACGGCAGAGGTTTCGCTCCGTAACGCTTCCACGGTCAACCGTCGTGGACTTCAATCGCTTCGTGGCACCCAACGCCTAGGAGGCGCTGCAATGGCGTTCTGTCGCGAGATAAGTGTGACTGTACAGTGGCGTAGGCAGGGGGGGGGGGGGGGGGGGTTGGGGGGGTCGAAACCCCTCCCCAAATGCCAAAGCTACCCCCCGCCCCCCTTCCCTCCCCAACGGGGCCCGCTCGCTGCCCTGCTCACGCAGTTGGTTTTGCACGAGGCACGGAGCAACGGGGGAGCACGGACCATGGGCCTCCTGCGCTGCCCAGAGGGTGCTGCGAATAAGACTTGTTAGGACTTGTTTTGGGTAGTACAAATTTTAGCGTCTCAAACTGTCACGCATGCAGAAGCGTGCCTGCTCTGGTGCGGAGCGCGAGATCACGATGAAAATGCAAAGACAGAACAAAAATTCGAACGCCGTCAAAGCTAAGACGCTGAGAGCGTGAGCCAAGAGATGCAGTTTCACGCGTTCCAAAGTAGACATCGAAAAGAAAAAAAAAAAATTAAAACGTCGCCACACAGGTGTTGTGACGTCAGCACGCAGAGATAAGAGACGCGTGCCCAAACGGTGGTGTCATGAATTTGGCACTTTCGATTCTCTTGCAACATTGAGTTTGGGCGATTTCTGGCGTCCAAAGGTGTTTTTCGCTCTTTAGCACCACATAGAACTGAAAAAGCTCGACCAACGTGCCATAAGTAGGGCTATGCTCAATCAGGTGAGCTTGTACTACCCAAAATGAAGGCGCTACAGTTTGTTCAAAGCTTCAGCGCAGGAGGCCTATCCCCAACTTACAGGCTTTCGGAAAAATTTTTTGTGGGGTAGAAAATGCTCAGATTAATAAAATATGCAATATTGCTTAATTCATGTTAAGTCGATGGGATGCGGAACTTGATCTCAGATATATAGAGAACGGATATTTCAAAATATTTGTGGGGTGAAAGATAGCAATTTCAACGCAAAATATGACAAACTATCCTCACTGAAATACACAGTTCAATCAAACCAATGTAAACATAATAAAATGAACACACGGTGATAATATAAAACCATGTCAGTAATGTAAAAAATAATAAATGAATTGTAAAAAAAAACAAAAAAAAACAAAAAAACAATCGCAGTGTAAGCAACGAGTGGCGATGCGCTCACGCACACCTTTTGTGATCAGAATTACGTGCTTTCGACATATCACGAATAAATAGGTAACTGTGACTAGTGATATTAGAATGCAATTTACAGGTTCTCTTTATCATCTCACTTATGCCAAGCGCCTACGCATTAAAATAAAGCCGCCTGCGTTCACGAAAAAAAAAAAAAAAATATCCCGGACGTCTTTCGCTTGAACTTTAATGTCGCGGTGAACATTCAAAAACGCTATACTTCGTTTCAGCTTAAATCCAGGTGCAGCCGATGCTACAAGCACGAGTTCAGGGCTTTCAGCGTCCCTGCCAAGCACGCGCGCTCGTGCAGTGCAAGCATTGTTTAGGGCCACATGTTCACGCCTGTAGCGTCGGCTGAGTCTGGACTGAGGCTGAAACGAAGCATAGACCGAGCAGTCGCTCAGTCGAAGTGGACGCTCTCAGGCATGTTTTCAACCGAAGTAATGCCTCCGGACGGAGAGTGTGACGGGCGCTTCACGTCTCTCCCTCTTGCATTGGACGCCTAAAATTTCCCTATTTTTTGGAGAAGTTTCCCTCACTTTGCGAAAATCGTCGCTCACGGATGCGATGAAGTCTGTCCTGCTTTCTGCTTTGTATGTCAAGGTGGCATGCGATGCAATTCCTTATTACTATTAGCTTGATCTCTTCGCTGCACGGAACATCAGAAACTTGAAGTGACAAGCCTTCATATTCTCACTTCGCACAAGTGCAAGGTTAGTCAAGTTCCTTTCCACGTTCGGCGCGTAGTTTCTTTGTGGTGCGTCATGTCATTTCTCCGAGTGACGGAACAACGAGTTCGGACTGATGACTTCTTACCCCGAGGACATGCTGCTGCTGCCTTTGGATCACGCTGCAAGATAAAACGGCCTAGCAAAGATAACACTCTTTCCTTCGGCACCTGGTTCTGTAGCACGAATTTGTTAAACTTTTAATAGATAATAGATTTTGGTTTTGCGATTGTTCAGAATTACCTTCACCCAAAATATGGGCCCCTAAAGTGTTTGTGCGTGGTCGGTTGCTCAAATTTTTCAGTGTCGATTGTTTTTTTTTTTTTTTTGCTGTTTAATTTTTTTGTGTATCTAGCTATTTTTGTAGTATAGCTATTTTCTGTTTTCTCTGGCCTTCACGCGTTGGTATTGCAGTGCTACTTCGAAAAGCGGAGGGAGTTGTGTGCTGTGAGGAAGCTTTTAAAGTTGGTGGGCCGCAATTACGACGACAGTAGAACAGTAAGCCACCCCGCCCGTATTCCTGTAAATGAAGCCTGCTCCGTTTTGAAAAATGCAAATGCAGCGCTACCCGTTTTATCTTAACAATGCCTCCCTAATATTTGCCTGAGCGTCCGTGTCGGCGAGCTCACCCTCCGTCATTGACGGGGGGGGGGGGGGGGGGGGGGGGAGATGCCGTTGAACCCTCCCGAAATAAAATCCTGGCTACGCCACTGGTGTGACATTATGATGCATGGATACACTGATGGTAGAATAGAAACCTCAACCACTTAAATAGGATACAAACTTTTCCCGATCTTGTGACTTTGGGCAACGCCTTCTTGGACAAAAGCCCTCGGCGCCAAGTCCCGCGACGCCATCGCGTTAGGTCCCAGCTCACGATGCGAGAGTGAATTCTAGTTTGGGGCACATGCGGTCACGTGGGAAGTGATAGTCTTCCCAACATATTGGTTGAAAAATTCAATTTTTAGCGTTTGCTCAAGTTTGCGGTGGCCGGATGCCACGTGTCGACGCCGCCGGAAGAAAATTTCGATAGGTGGTAAGTTCCCGATACTTTTATTTTCACTAATCCCCGCCCCATCCACACCGTGCTGCCTCGAGTCAAACGACCAATCCAACGGCGTCTCGTTGCAGGCCCATCTGCCGTCGACCGTCTACGTCTCGCCGTTTCTCCGGGTGTCCAAGTTACATCTGCTGGGTCGAGTTTCCGTTCCAGGTGTTGCTCTCGTCGTCGTCGTCGCTGCTGCGTCGGTTCGAGAACCGGTACACGTTTCCCTGCCGCTGGTACACACCACCGCCCTCCCCCTGCTGCGGTGGACGGCGGCGCCGAGCGCCCCTGCATGCGCAAGAAATACAACCGTGATTACACAGACATTATCCAAGCATTTCGGTGTTCAAACCTAATCCCCGAGTCTGGAAGGCATCTGTAACACACTCTTTTATGTTTTAACGAAAGTTCTATCTAGGTAAGCATCAGACTGAAGACCCACGACTCACAAAAAATAGTAACGAGAAGGACAGACACCATATGCCTCAAAAGCAGCTGCGATAATTATACGACTACACGCAGGTTTAAGTTACCGGAAAGAATGAGAGACCCAAGTACAAGCGGCAGGGAAAATGCCATACCACCGAAATCTTCACCATAATAAAGAAACAGAGAGAAAAGATGATCTCAGCCTTCACGAGGAACATTATTCAAACAACCCAATCTTTCCAAAAGAATGAATAGAACCCATTCAAAACTTTTCTTTTTACATTTTAAAGGAACACTCGAAGCCGAGCTGAGAGCAATAGGGCTCAAGACGTTCCCAGAACTACCGTATAATCGCGCACCCCCGTATATAAGACAAAGAATAGCAAAAAAAAAAAAATTTACAGAAATTATTCGCGTATGCCCCGCACCCCCTTGTTTTTGAGGCGCGCCGACTGTAATGCCACGTTTCTATAAATATATATCGCTAGGTGGCGCTAGCCACCGCCCGAGCACGTAGCGGCACGTGTCCGCATCCCCGATATTTGCTCTCCACTCATCCGTATCGCCGTATGGCATAATGGCTGTCGACCTTGGTCGGCCGCCAAGGATTCTCCATGTCGGCCGCACTGTCGGGATGCGTTTATGTTGCGGCAAGGCATTTTGAGAAAAGATAAAGGATATGTCAGGTTCCGTGGCAAGCGCGAGGAATGGGGATTCAGTGGGCTGGGCTCGCGCGTGCACTCGGGTTTCCAAACGCCACTGTACGCTCTGGGGAGGTTTCCTTTTGCTCTTCGATTCGTGTTAAAGCGTCGTGATTTGTCTGCCTTTTCGCGCAATCTGAGAGCTATGGGCAAGTACCACTTCAACAGTCATACGGGATTCGAGCCGAAAGTTGCCGCGCATGCTATCAAATACGGCAAAAAGAAAAGAAAAACGTGTATTGCGCAGTATGTAAACTAATTAAATTCGACTGACGATTGAGTCCGTATTCCGGAGTGGAGGCGCTTCCGACCAGTGCAGCCGAGCGCGCTCATGTACGTTCATTTTGAAATGGGGATACAGATTTTTTTTTATTCCGTGTATGGGCCGCATCTTGAAAATTTGCCCTCAAATAGGGAAAAAATAGTGCGGCCCTTACACGAGTTTATACGGTACTACCCTAATCTTTCGCACACTCATGGTGGCCACAGATCACACTTATCACCGAGTTCCTTGGCACTTTAGACCCTTTACAACAACTCATTCACTCCATAAAAAACAAACAAAAGAAAGCAAAAAATGGAGAGCGTGCTGGTAAGGGTAATATAAATTTCATTTCATTTAATTTTTCATTTCAATAAAGGGAAGGGTCCGTCCTTGTCTTTTATGTTCTTCCCCGAAAATCACATTGCGGTGTTAGAATGCACTCTTTGCATTTCCATCTTTCCACTGGTGTGGGAAAGGGAGTGCTTTGTAAATGAGCAGACGAAGACGAGGAAAGCACGCGATGCCGCATAGCATTTCTGAAGGTATAGGAGAAGGCAGGAGGCAGCCAGTCATGGCCCCTACCGGAGCCCAGGTTGTGAGAGAAGGACATCATCCGCGAGGCAGGCCTACCCTTGCTCCTGGGGCGGATCCGGAGCCACCCCTTGGGGCTCCGTCGGGGCCGGAGATCCAAAGAACAGTCCCGTGAGCAGGCTCCAGAGGAACATGAGCGGTGTCAGCAGCGACCCCAGGAACTTCAGGGCCGACACCCCCGAGTCGCTCAGTGCCGACGGGACCACCGCCTGGTTCTGAAGCAGAGCACAGAGACAGTCATGCCTCATGGACAGCTCCCCACAAATCATTCTCTTAAGAACAAGACAAAAAAGTCTATCTATTCAGTTTGTCCCTGAAAGTGTTGTCCATGAAGTGGGCTAGTCATATTAACGGGGTCCCTAACAATGAGACATGACTGGGTAAATTAAACGATCGGTCCTTCGGTGTTAGCAACACTATTTCTGGGTTATCCCACCTACCCTAGCAGCACACATTAAAAAGTTAGAATGTTAAGCAAGAAATCGCTATTTGGATATTTTCCAAGTGCTCACCCGATAGGGAAAAGAAACAACCTGAAATTGTCGAGCAATATTAGTGAGCCTTAAAAAGACAAGTATCTGAGGGTGACCTATGAACCGGCACCATTTCCTATATTTATGTTCCCAGAAGTGCAGGCTCTACTTGCACCATTTTCTTTTTGCCTACCGTAAAATACCGAGGAATCGCCCATACCTGCGTACATACGCCCACTACCGGTATTAACATCTTCGAAATTCGAAAACTTGGGCAAGTACACATCAAGCGCCCATATTCTCGGAAGCGCCGGCGTTCCCGGCAGCTGCCGCGCCAGGCACCCTGCCGAAGGTTGCCGCGGCAGACCCGGCCCGGAGACCAATTCCTGTAGAATTGGGTCACCGAGGTCACTCCGGGCACTTTGTTCTTCACGTTACAGCAGCATTGTGTGGTCCGCACAATCCGGGGTAGCAACGACAGGACCAATAGGAGTGTAGATAACAGACAGTTCGTCCCAGCATTTTGTAAAATACATCTTGATTAATGCTTCGTCCTTCCCGATTGCCGTTGGTCACTCAGTTGGCAAGCAACCAGCACAGGATGCACTCGTACACAGTCTCCAAAAAGATAGAAGTCATCGACTAACATCGGGCGTCGGGAGGCAATGTCAGTCGCACCTCTCGTCATTTCAAGATCGACAGAAAGCGAATCCGTGAGTGGGACTCTAAGTACGAAACCCTGAAGCAACTTAGCTACAGCAAGCAGAAGATGAAGAGGAATTTCACGACCGTCTTCAGTGAGGAGGTGGATGACGCACTGTTTGAATACTTTCAAAGGGAGCGAGATGCCGGCCGGGCCATCAGCAACCAGCTCCTACCAGACGAGGCACTAAGGACAGCTGAGAGTAAATCTTGGCCACTCCAAAGCGTCAACACAGTATATCAAGCAATGGAAGCAGCGATTTGCGGTGACTATACGTACGGCACCCAACGACAGCCAGAAGGCCCCTGCTGACCGCGGCGAAGCTGTCACTGCATTCCGCTCTACAATCGCTACTTTGCGAGCATGGCACGACTACACGCCATTCAACATCTGCAATATGGACCAGATTATGGTCAGAATGGACAGCCCAGAGACCCGCACCAATCATGTTGCTGGTGAAAACAGCATCCGGATCGCCAACACCGGCTGCGCCCGTCGAGGCTGCACCGTCGCGCTGGCAGCTCGCGCGTCGGGGGCGAAACTTCCGGCATTTGTCATACTCAAGGAACCCACAGGGAGGATCCCTGCTCGTGCGTTCATGGCGCTTTGCGTACCATGCAAGTTTGGCGCATTTCCTAACAAGTTCTGCTTCGTTTCGTTGACTGTGAAGCGGTTCCTTCGAAAGACGAAAGCACGACAAGACAAGAGCAACGAGTTTGTAAAGTTTGACGCCAATGATATTCGAGATTTGCGACCGCCGTAACCGCGTTCTGCTTCACTTTGTTATGACTAAGACGCGGTTGACGCACTTCCCGACAAAAGAAGAAAGCATGCCCAGAGTCGGGAGAGACGAAAGTTTGTAAACACCGAATCGCGACCGCCAAGCGCAGACACAGAACTGCGGCACCATAGCAGAACTGGCGGAACTGCAATGACGAAATGACCCACCCACCTTCAGAAACGTAAAAGCCCGACTGTGCTTCTGCCAGAGTAACTGAGGGTAACTGCACTAACGCAATGACGTAACGCGTGAGGCCTGGGCCCGGCAGACGAATATGCCCTCGGCTCTCAGCAGGCACGTCGTGTTCGATGTGCTCGATTGGATCTGAGTTATCCGGCTTACCGCAACTGAAAAATGTTATCATGGGTTTGATTAGTAACTTCTGGAACACGACCAACCGAAGTAGTAGCAGTAGGCAGTAGCAGCTGCACGGCAGCACGTTGTTTGACCCCATCGGTTGCGTAACTGTACTTTTGTCCTGTTTCCGTTCTTGCAGTGAACGTTCGCTTGACGTCGTCCAAAAATGGTTGGATGACAACAGACGTATGTCTGGAATAGCTCAGCCGTGTTCGGGGTCCCGACATCAACGACGTTCGCCGCTTGCTAGTGATCGACCAAGCGCCGATACACAAGACGAAGGCGGTCATGGACACTGCAGAAGCCTCCGCTACGGACATCATGCACATTCCAGGAGGCTGCACTGGAATTCTACAGCCTGCGGACGTGTATTGGAACAAGTCGTTCAAGGACTCTCTTCGTACGTCAAGGGCGGAGTTCATGCGGAAGGGAGACAAGATACCAAAAGGCAACCTCCGGAAGTCTTCGAGGCAGGATGTCCTCAACTTCGTGTCAAAGGCCTGGGCAGCTGTGGCCGAAGACATGATCGCGCAATCTTTCAAGGGATGCGGCATCAGTGGCACGTTGGACGGTAGCGAGGATGGCTACCTGCACGACGGACTTGCGGGCATTGGAGCACCAGCAGCCTACTCTAATCCCGAAGGTGTCAGCGATGAGTGCATAGATTTTGTCTTTTGCAGTGATTCCGAAGAGTCATTCGACAAATTTAGTGATAACGAGTGAATAATGACATTACCAAATCATCTGTACAGCGGAAATAAAAGAGCCAGGCTGGCTGCTTTCTCTGTTTCCATGGCTCTATGAGGCTCTTCATCGTCCGCTATCTTGATTTTGGCGCATGGACCTAATAAGCGCCCATAGTTGGTTTTACGTGTATTTCGATAAAAGGGGGGTGGGCGCTTTTTTGGTATTTTATTTGGTATTTTACATTATATATAATATTCCGGGAGTTTGGTCCTTCCTATCAAGTTGAATATAATCCTTAATCTCGATGCACGGGAGAAATGAATAGTGGACTGTCTGCCAATAATATTTGAAACTGACAGTGCAAGATGAAATAGAACATTTTCCCCGGCGTTAGCGTGACCAAAGTTGCACCGATATTTGAGCCACTGGACAGCACTGAATTTCAGACAGGTGATCGAGCTCAGTCCATTAGAATTTGCAAAAGTAGAAGTAGTATCAGAATGGAGGCATTCCGAATATTCTTCTACTTACCTTTTTCTACAGTATCAGGATGTCAAAATGGTTCCACAGAATTGACACGCACATTCGGAAACATGGATGAAACCATCCGAATATTATGTCGGATGCTTCGTGCACCCCAATGTCCCTGCTATTCGTGTGATCTCTCGCTATCGCCAATTATTAATGCGAGCGTCAAAGATACACCATACTTCGGAAGCAGGTTTTGAGCCATTTACTAAAGACCTCAAGTGACGTCCAGGTTTCCCGGTGTTATAGCCACACGTTGGTGTACGAGGACGACTGAGGGCAGCTTCGGAATAAATTCTGCATCAAAGGTACGGCGTTACCACTTTGCTTCAGAGTCACACATCGCTTTTTACTTACAACGTGCCAACCGAAATGTCAGGGCCACTCAATGTTACCAGAGTAGGTCATCGGCCGATTCCTATGGCTTGCAACAAAAACATTAAGCGTGCAGTCGCACCATCGAAAAAATTCATCGTACAGTTGAACCTCGATGTAAGGAAGTCATCGGGACCCGCTAATTATTTCGTTACATTGGGAACTTTGTAAAATCGGGCTTCGTTACATTGAGGTTCAACTGTATTAGCGAAGCTCCAGGCCCATAAACAGTGGTCGACGCGCGACTTGGCAGCTCTACTCCAGGCATATGTGCACGTTTGTAGTGAATGAGGCTGCATTACTCCCAGCTCTCGCGACGGACACACGAGCAAGAGCTCTTCTTCCTTTTTTTCCCCCAAGGACGAGAGTAATGAGGCGCCGTAGCCAATGAGAGGATCAGAATGGCATCTCTTTCGAATGCCCGGCCTCCAGCACTCCTTCTCTTTTGTTGCGACCCGGCTGCACGTGCACACTCAAACTCGCCAGACGCCCAAGTGCTATCCCAGGAGGGAAACTTGCACCGAAGGTGGGACGGCCAAAACTCTTCCCGCAGTTCCCATCCTCTCAGTGACCGCAGCAGACTCCATTTACAATTCCGAGTCTCGACGCCGTGCAAATGTGAACGTGGCAGCTCCGGTGTTGCGAACGCCGGCCCAATGTTTGCTCCGCGAGGGCACGGTGCCCCTCCGTCTCCCACCGGTGCACTCACTGGTTCCTCGAACGTATCCCTCGATTCGTTGCAAAAGCAGCTGCCCCGATTCCGTCCCGGCGGCAGAGGTGGACGCGGCAGACACTCCTTCTGCCACAGATCGCTCCGCAGCCAGACCGAAACCGGAGCAGACGAGAGTTGGAATGCTATGACGACAGCAACCCTCGCACCCGCTCGAACTTTTTGCCAGCATTTCTACGAGCAATTGCCGAGATGTTAATGTCCGACGGCACAACAGGTCAAGTCCGGCGCGAGACCGTCCAACCAGGACACGTCTTCTGAAGTCGCAGCTTTCGCTGTACCGGAAGCGGAGGCTTTTGTCCGGTTCCGGTCCACTTTCGCCTATTCTTTTTGCAGGGTTTGGACAGAGGCTCAGAACGTGCCCATCCCCCAATCTCCCGAGAACGAGGAAGGGGAAGAGACGACGGCGAGGAGGCAAGACGCGCAGTTTGCGTGGTCGATGTCCAAACTGAAAACGGTTGCGGACACTGTAACTTCTACGTCTATTCAGAGAAGGCATTTGCTGTATCCCGTTTCGACAGCCCTCGACACAGTCGCTCCAGGACCGACTCTGGGCAAGACAGCAAGGTCACCGGACAAAGACACAGCCGTTGTCTTTGAGCAGGAGGCACTCACGGGCACGACGAGCAGCACGGCCGAAGGGGTGAGCTCCAGCTGCTGCAGGCTCTGGCTGTACTGGCTGTGGGTGAACTCCTTCCGGGGGAACGTCGTCGACAGGGAGAAGGAAGAGAAGCCCGGCCGGATCGTCTGCACAAAACAAGCCTCTGCTCGCAACTCCCACACCTCCCAAGACGTTCGACAAGGCGGTAGCTGCTGCGTTTCACGGTGGTTACATTGTCTTATGGCGCATAATGCGCACCACTGCAACGAGGCTCGCGACAAACATCTGGGACGTGAGAGAAATAAATGCTCATGCATAAACGTGCATTTCCATAAAGTTACTTTAGAGCCTCATGGGCTACAAACATGAAGCGAAGACGATACGTAAGAACTGCAACAAAAGTAAGCATGCATTTGCCGAAGAGTGCCGCTTGGGAAAGGTTCACATTTTAAGGCGACGAAAAAAGTTGCGCGTGACGCACGCTGCTATGCAAAGTGTGGAAGGTCGTTCCAACTATATAGGGTGAAAAACGTGCGGAGTAGAAAATACAATCAAAACATTTTCCCCGAAGGAACCCCCGTCGTTACTAAGTGAACATTTGCAACATTGCACATACATCTTTGAAATCTGTTCTTTGGTTGACGTTTTCTAGCACAGCACTTCTGAAAAGACCCTTCTGTGCGCCAGGTAGGCTAATTTGAAAGTTATGAAAAGAACAAAACATCAGAGGTGGTATGCAGCCATCACCCAGGCAGTATCGAATTAAAGGGGTTATGACAGGCCAAAAATAAAATATGAAATAACTACACTGCTAGGACCCATTTAGCAGGACTATAATCCTGCTAAATTTGTCTAGAAAATGGCATGATAGCTCCGTGGATAAATGAATTTATATGCGGGTCCCTCGGGACCGTCCCATTCGAAAAGACCGAAGTGGCTGGAGGCTGGTGACGTAGCCAGCCTCCCGCACGGCGTCCCCTTGCACGCACTCACACACTTGGCTCTCTTGGCATCTCGAGCTTCAGCTCATTCGTTTACCTTCCGCGTTTCGAGCATGCGGTGCTGTGACGATTACGTCTACGGCATCGCTCGTCTTGTCAAAGTGTTCGACATTGATCGCAGCAACGATGAAAGTGATTGCTATCCAGAGATGTTGAAAGCTGTTCGTATTGACTGCGACCCGCTGCCGACCAGCTCCAGCGACAGCGCGGGACGAACTCGCCGTGGCCATTGTCGTCTGAGAATATCTTGTAGACGCATGCAGGGTAGAAGGTTAACAGGCCGGGGCCAAGAGCGAGAATAGCGTTCGGATCACCGAGTTGCGTGAGCGCTTTTGATCGTACCGTGGCGAGGAGAGCTTGGGCGATCATGGGGGCGCCTAGAATGAGAAAGCGTTCATGATTACGTGGTTTATGGACACCATGGTGTGACTAACTTGAGTGGTGTTCCCGAAGCACCAGATGAAAATGATAAAAATTCGCAAATTGATTATTGCAATTACCACAGCTCTAAAAATCACGTAACTTTGTGTATATACTAAGTAGCCTATCAGCATTCCATTTGAAGAATAATCTATCCGTTTAATTTTCGTGCCATAACCCCTTTAAGGAAACTGCATTTTTAAATACACATTAGTTCTGGCTCTATTCAATTATTGTTTTTGAACCTACCTTACAAAAAGAAGTGAAGGAAAAAAGAGTTACAAAAACTTCAAGCAAGGTGCAAAGTGGTTGTCAAAAACAGGGAGCCTCACCTCGAGTACAAAGTTGCGGAGATCTTGCAACGTGGCGGTCGCGTCAAACGTGTGAGTGGCCGATGAGCCGTCTGGAAGTCTGAATTGAATCCTGGCCACGACACTGAAAAATAACAAACGCAATCGGGGTTCATCCAGGACGCATATGTCGGCACGCACACGAGGTGCCACTACGGTGTCTGGAATGTCCCCCACTGGTGCGTTTCGCTCCACTTACGCATCCAAAGTGGTTCCATAAAAGCAACGACTTCACAAAAGCCACCGTGTAACGCCAATGCCACGATCCTAACAACTGGGTGTGGAAAGTGTAAAAAAAAAAAGAAGTGCGAGAAAATGCGAGTGTTGTCGTCGGTGCCCCAACTTGCGGCTGCCACACTCCCGTGGTCCGTTGCTCTGAAGAGCGACCTGCAGCCGAACGGGCATTTGCCACATCTAGCACCACTGCTGCGACGGCGCAGGGATCGCGGCTGGCGACACTTTTACAACCTCGTCAGGCGGAAATCGAGGAAGCACTTTTTGGATGTGGTAAATGCACCGGTCGGAGGAGCATCCCTAAGCATCGTAGCGCTACAAAATCAGTTCCTCTAAGGGTGAAGACAGCGATACTAAGGCCACGTCGAAACTTTTCGCTTCATAAACGTCCGTGCAGTGCCCGAGGTATTGTGGAACGAGTAGCAGGGAGCTACGCCGGTCCCCTCTCGTCGACTGTCTGCTCGCAATCTTTTTCTTTATTTGTCTCCTAAAGGTCTGCAAAAGCCCCTCGTCGCAAAGATGGTGCTCGAAATGCGTCTGCGTCCAGTTGGTTTAAAGCGCTAGCCCACCCATGTATGAAACTTGTCCCGAAGGAGCCACCAGGAAATGCTACGCAATGTCGCAATCCCGGTGGTCAGTCATAGAAGTGCCGGAAAAGCGGACAAACGGACTAGGTGCCAGCGCCATCGTGGCATCCCAACCGGTGCCTGCAGAAGTCTCCATCGACCGACCAGCTGCAAATGGGGCCAGGCAAGGACGACCGTCTGCCGCCGCGATACCGTTGGGATTGTGGAGAGCTGTGGCACTTCTCGGTTGGGACGAAACCGGGCAAAAATGGGGCGGGGGACAAGACGAAAACGTGGCAAATGTGCCGGTCGGAGGCACACTTCGAACACCGTGGGTCTAGGATGGGCGTCTCCCTGGTGGCCGAGGTGCGTACCTGCGTGCTGCGGCCTCCTGGCTGAGCCTCTGCTGCTGCTCCTGAAGGAGGGCGGCTTCGCGCCCCCTACGCTGCTGCTCCTCCTGCGCCCTCTCGTGCTGGTATCGTTCGGCCCTGTCCGCCCTGCAACGGCCACGGTATCGTTGCCACTTGCACCCTTTATAGAGTCTTTTTACTTCTAGAGAGTTGCATTACACCATGTTGAGGAATGGCATCTGCCACTTTCCCCGTTATTTACTTCTAGAGAGTTGCATTACACCATGTTGAGGAATGGCATCTGCCACTTTCCCCGTTAGTTTGCAAGCAGAAGGAGAGTAATTTTTAGGGTTGGTGACAAGCACAAGCATGGCGAGTCGGTAAGCACGACCGAAGGCGTATTTGGGCCTCATAATTGCGAGTGAGCTTACGCCGTTTTTTTCTTTCTTTCAGAGTTACACCGGCGGCGTCTACTGACGGCTTTTTGGCTGCCACCGGGTCCACTTCTTTATTGCTAGATTGTCTCGAGTACGAATAGACTGGCACGTATAAAAATTGAGTACCAGCCAATGCTCCTTTACTTCCAGGCTGGTGCAGTCCATCACAACATAAAAGAACTCTAGTAATCTGGAAAACACTGCCACCGTGCGTAGAAAGGTGTAGGACGAAAGTTCGTCAACATGGTGTCCGGCGGGACTTTGAACAGAAAGTAAGTACTGGTACTCGAGTGATAGCCGCACTGTTTATGAATGCATCCCTTGCGTCTACTTTCCCACATAACACATATACTACAGTCAATCATTGCGTAACCAAATCGAGAACACGATTCTCCATACAAGTGGAATCTTCACAAATGGCATCTTCGCACAAAGACATTATCTCTGTCCTGTAAACAGCTGTAATCATGCTGTCGATCGCGGTGATCGGCAATCAGCGTGCTCCGCGGAAAAGCAAACCCTCAGGTTTTCTGCAGCTATTACTCGAGTGCGGCTATTACTCGAGTGAATACGGTATGTCACGAGACTCGGTACACAGTCTGCTATTCATATCCTCCACCCAATCAAAGGGTTATTTAAACAGCGTAAGAATTCGAGACAGTTAATGCTTGAGGTCCTCCCTTATTCTGCTGTAGTTCCGTCTCTAATCTGCTCACAACTAATGCATTTCAAAACTTTTTTTTTTTTTTTTCTCTTCCGATTTACATTGCACAATATATATTACATAATGCCCTCCACAGTTCACATAACTGGAAATATCGCTACACTGAGGTGAAACACTCCTTGAATGATTGCAGCTGAGGCCGAAGAATCTCCCAATTCTACAGAAACGGACGAGCGAGCAAAGGAACCCAGAAGGACGGCCAACCGTCTCGGAAGAATTCCTCCGAGGCTCCGAGCAGAGCCCCGTCGAGCCCGTGGTCCAAGCGCCTGTTTCCCCATCAGTGCTCACCTGTCCTGCGCGATCTGCGCCTGGATGGCCTCCCGATGGCGACGCTCCTCCTCTTTCTCCCGGGCCCGCTTCTGGGCCCACTCCCGTCGCTCCCCGTCCTCCTTTGCCTGGCGGGCCAGCTGCAGCTCCCGAGCCACCCGACGGCGCTCCAGCTCGCTCCGCTTGGTCGCCTGGGAAGGGACCGCTCCGTTAAAGGCTGCCCTTTCACTCTGCATCCCACCTCTGCTACACTGCCACCACCCAAGTGGACCTGCAACACTTCCAGCCTGTGTCACATCAGGTTGTTTCTCTCCGACACCACAGCTCGGTGGAGTTGCTGCAACCTTGCCCCCCCCCCCCCCCGGCGCTTTTACTCGTTCGAAAGAGGCACTCCTACCTCACCGTGGGGGCCTCCCTGCTCCGGGGTCCAAGTGGAGAAATTTCCGGACTAGTTAGACCTACCTGCCACGAGGTCGCCTGCCTGCAGGGACTTGCATGGAACACCTTGCCATTTTCGTTTTCTCAAAACCAATGTTCTATAAACGAGTGTTTCTTTAAGATGACCCCCAAATATTTTCATCAACGCTCTACAGAGTTTTCACGTCAGATCGTGCAATGATGGCGGGGGGATTTCAACAAGGCTCTTGAAATCCCCCCTCCCCACAGTAAAGCTCTGTTGTCGTTAAGACATGTTTTCTCGTATCCTTGCATGCAGTAACGAAGGCCTTGAGGCCTTCTACAGAGCTGAGCAAAGAGATTACCTCCTCCTCCTCCTTGAGCTTCTGCAGCCTCCTCTCCTCCAGCAACCTCTTGGCCCTGAAACAAGAGCCACCTCAGTGCTACTTCTTTCCCAGAAAAAGGCTATTTTCACATTTCAAAACTAAAGCTCCCACAAACAGTGTTGGAAAATGCATATTTTGGCTATGCTACCAGCTTTGAAACTAGGCTGTGCAAGGAATAGAAGCCAGCACAGCTAGGAATATGCTACTATGCTCTTTTCACCCAAATTTACTCATTTCCTTTGGCGCAGACTGGGACTGAATACAAAAACTATCACATATGCTGTCTTTTTTCCCGAACCAGTCAGTACAATCACTGTGTCATCCATCCTCAGCTCGCCTGTTGCTTGAGGAGTTTATCAGTGTCCTACATTAGAGAGCTGCAGTAGATTGTTTCGATACCTCCGGTAACTATATCCTACATTCCGCCAATGCCCTAGCCCATACATCGTATTGATGAGGGTATCGGAGGTGTTGGAGCGATCTACTAAAACTCCCTACCACCTTTGTTTCTAAAAAGATATGTGAGTGGAAATATTATTTTCTGTAAATAGGAACAAATGAACACATACTTCACTTAAACTGGGTTTTGGTGAATTACATTCTTCATTTTGATTTGCATGTCTGCCCAACTTTTTCCTGTACCCATTTATTCCGGTGTTTGAGGAAAATAACATAGATGACGAAAACCGGACGATTAGTTTCTCCACAAACGCATTTATTGTTTTTGGTACATTTAAATTACCATTTTATCCATACAGTTTCACACGTAACCATCTCCTAAAGATTTTGAAATGAGACTTTATTTTTTATTATTAAATACATATTCAAAAATATCTGCTAAACTGCCACCAGTCTTGGGCAGTAGCTAGTGACTAGTAATGTGTTACCAGTAACTAGTCACTTTTTTCGGTAATTTTTAACTGTAACGCGCTACTCTTTAATACTGGTAACTTGTAACTGTAACACTGTTACTTTTTTTAGTAGGCAACTCTAACTGTTTAGGCCGTTACAGTTACTTTTGTTACTAAATAAATTGGACCCCGCTGCCGCGGACATGGTGAAGTCGTCATCTTAAAATATTTTTCTCAGTACAACAAAAACAAAAGCGTGGCCCTGCATTAAACCAACAAAAAATTGCCTGGTTTAGCCCACGACAGAGAATGGACGACAGACGAGTCAGCACGAAACCGGGAGATAAAGGAAGCCGGTGCTCGCGGAGGTAGGGGCGCAAAGGAATCTGTCTGTTTCACCGACCTTGGCTCACTCTTCTCTGGTGGGGACCATCTGCAGGTGTTGGTGGTCATGCGACATGTCTCCGAGTATTCCGTCTGGGATATGACTGCACCCCCCTCCCCCCCTCTTCCTTCCTCTCTACCGTATGTCTGTCCGTGCTGTTGTTTGTGCACTTAGCCGCTCGCCGTTTCCTCTTCCCTATTAGTTTTCAAGGAAGCCGTCCCCATATTGTGCAGAAAGTTGGCACTTGTTTAACTTATTCATTCTCTTCGGAGCTGCTCGAGTAAACGGGGGCTGTGTTCCAAATCTTACCCAAAATGGATCCGAGTTACTCCGGCGGGTCATGTCACGTGACAACACATATTGAAAAACACTGGACACGGGTAGGTTTTAGAACGCCAAGGTACGAAACCCTTTCCCTGGAGTAAGATTGAGCAAATTATGAAATACAGCCAAGAAGGCAGGTTCAAGTGTTATTGCCTTTTTCGTTGATAACCTCAAGAAACACCCCAATGGAGGAACAGTTTGTTGTGGAACCTATGCAGTGCTCCAGCTGAAGCGATTTCAGGAAAAACACGAGTCATAAGTGAGAGAATTAGCTATTTTTCGTGCGTCTTCCATAGTTAACATTTCGGACACAGATGCCGCAGTGGTCATCGCACACTCGTGAAGCACCAGAAGGCCTAACTTTGTCTCCTTTCCCCCTATATTCTTGCGAAGCTGTTTGACCTGCTATGTTTAGACCTGCTTCCGAGTATATATTCCATAAGGTAATTATGCGACCATCTGTGTCCTCATTCGTTTCAGAGTGAAAAATAAATGAAAACGTTCACTGACAATCGGGCCGATCACAATTTTGAAAGGCAGTTGATTATAACTTATAACAATTATTGCAAATAAATTATGCACATCAAAATGCTGAAACGGCGAATGACACAAAAAAAGAAACACCCTTCCGTTTAAAATTTTCTAATTTCTCAGTTTTCCTTTCTCCTCACTATAGTGTAACAAATAAAATAATATTGTTTTAGTTAGTGATTTCTTGTGTCCACTTTTGTTTTTGTGCTGTAACGAGAAAGTAACGGCATTAGTTTTTGCAGTAACTGTAACAGTAACACGTTACTCTTTGAAACCGGTAACTGTAACAGAGTTGCTTTTTTCCCCCTAGGTAACTGTAACACTGTTACTTTTTACTCGGAACGTGCCCATGACTGACTGCCACGTTGCTTTTCCAAGGGCCCCCGACTTTAATTACCGACAGAATAGAAAGCTGGGCTAGTTGGTGCATTGCTACGTTGGTGCATTGCCAATTACCAATTGGTAGTTTTTCTTTGTTTTGTTTTTCTGTCTGAACCATTTTTGGAAATAAAATTTGATTTGATCTAATACTGTATTTTCTTTTTATTAATTTCTTTTCTTTTCGCCAGAGCACAACTCCCAAGTGAGAGTCACAGTGAAACAAGCTGTTAGTGTCCTCCGCCTTCCCAAGCACACACATGGAGCAACTTCCAGCTATCTGCTCACTCTTCGAGTCATGCCACTGCCAAGATGTGCGGACAATACCACGCTCCCTTCCACTCTAACCCCAAGTGCAGCAGGTGCCACGAGCCATCTCAACCAATCCGGAGCTGCGAGCGAATGTCTTTTCCGACTTCGCATTTATTTACTATATTTATTTATCACATACCGCGGACCGCATGGGTCCGAGCAAGATAGGCAAAAGCAGGAAAAAATAAATTGTGGGTACGTACATCAGGCGTGACAATCACTGCTGCAATGACGAGGCAAACGTCACTATTTGACACTCCAAGTATTGTGACTATATACTCCCACACACACAAAACGAGGAACATCGTCATCAGAACAGCGTAGCACCCTCTCGGCTCCGATTTGGCTCGACCACCACGCTGCTTTTGCTCTCAACCACCACGGTCCACTTCATGCTCAGTTTCGCCCTAGGATTTACCGCAACGGACGCTACGAGCCGTGATGGCCAATCCGACGCTCCACGACTGCCGCGACTTCCCATTCCGCGTGTTGCTTCGCCCAATCAGAAGGTCCCCTGGCACACTCAGAGCCGTGGATTGGCTCCGGTGGCATTCGCTCCGGTACATCACAAGATGAAGCAGACTACTTTTTTTCAGCGAGTAATAGACGTGCTACACGCGAACAAAGCTTTAGCATCTACTTTTCTGCAGAAGATGCACGCAGCCAATCGTAGCATTCCGCACAGAAAAAGTAGAGATTCACAAAGTCGAGAGCACGATTCTCCGGAAAATGCAGTTTGTGCAGATGTAGCATTTTCGAGCAAAGACATTATCTTTGTCACATAAATTGCCCACATGTTTCTGCCAATCTCGATGATTGGCTATCCTCGTGCTCTGTGGGAAAGCTGACTCCCGGGATTTGTTCGTAAATAGTGCATCTATTACAGGAGCAAATACAGTATAAAAATTCATACATGGGTAAATTACTTCCAAAATGTAATTTAATTACAATTACAATTACTTTGCTTCAAAAGTAGTTTAACTACAATTGCAATTACTACTACGTGAAACTAATTACCGTAAAATACTGAAGAAACGCCAACCCCCATTTTATCCAAATAAGCGTAAAGCCAACTATGGGCGCTTATTAGGGCGCTTGATGTGTACTTGCCCAGATTTTCGAATTTCAAAAATGTTAATAGTGGGCGCTTGTACGGGTATGGGCGCTTCCTCGGTATTTTACGGAATTTACAATTACCAATTACTTTCAAAAGTAATGCAATTACTTTAAAGTTACTTATATTCGAGAGCGACCCGACTTGGGCCATATAACTTTAATCGAGTTGTATAGAATGCAACGTATTTGTTAATTCCTTGCCCCCAATGTTTGAGGAGGCTTAAGCATCGCTGCATAAATGCCACATATTGTACTCTCCTCCTATGAATTTTGTTAAATTCATGATGGAACTGTAGAGTCTAAGGCAATGAAGTACTACATTCTTATATTTTTTATAAATTATAATAAATTAGTTCATACGCTGGAAGATGCCCGAATGCTAAGGAAAAAATTGGGTTGACAGAGTTTTGTTAGCCCAGGAAATCAAATGATGAATATTTTACTCGTGTTAATATAAAATCTAAAATCCACACGCGCTAATATGACCGAATTCACATGCAAACATCACAATATTGTAAATGATTTACATTGAGTTGAAGTTATAATGGCTCAGTAATATATAAGCACCGAATCGGGGCTCCTGAATCATTGGTAACAATATTCGCTGGGGTGAGTTCAGTCTCCAAAATGCTTATGCAAAAAATATATGAAGTAAAACCAGCAGGAAATAAACTTAAAAATAATAAATACAAAGATACAGTTATATGACAGTACTGAAAAAAAATAATGTCAAGCTGAAAAAAAACAAAAAACTTTAGAGATAATATTTTTTAGCTCAACTCACAGTCGAAGCTCAATTTTTTTTTTCTCAATATTTTGCCATGTTTACGTTATGTTGTTTGCTCGCAAGCAGACGGTGCAATACGGTGCCGTTGAGGTAGGCTCCAAAGAGGATTGTTTCTCAGCCAGCAGTGTAAGCAACAAAACAAAACAATGCAACGCTATTTATGGTGTGCATGTGTATGAGTGCGTGTCTTTGTGCGAGTGTTTCACCGATAGCTAGGCCACGTGTGCGAGCGCTGAGGCTTTCAGAGATTGTCTGTCGGCGCCACAAAGTTTTGAAAAAGTAATTGTAATTGTGCCTGAAATTTTGCAATTACTGACGCTACAAACTAATTAAATTAACATTCCTTTTGGCCGAAAGTAATTAATTACAATTACAAATTACCAAGAAAAGTAATTCAACTACTGTAATTGAATTACTACCCAAGTATGAGTATAGAGTGGTACGGAGTCTTGTTAGAGCAGTCGAGGGTTCAACCACACGCAACGACCGCTTCCCGACGGCCGGGTTCTCACCTCTCCACCTTGTCAGCCGGAGCAGACGCTGGCACAGCATCCACACCCAGTTGAGGTTCGCTGGCAATGTTGCCGTTGTCGTCGCTCCCGCTTGGCTTGGCCTGCATCGTTGCCAGAGACAACTCGCTTGCTAACCATGTTTGTCGCTCAACAACTTCCACAATGTTCCTAGCCCCCTCAAAAAAAAAAAAAAAAGAAAAAGAATGGTGTAGTTTAAGCCATCCAAGAAACGAAAAATGGCAGCAGGGAACCAGATTATCTTGTCACGCTTCGAAGTGGGGGCTGGCTGTAGCAGCCTTTTTCTTGTTTTGCCGCTTCTGAAATTAACAAAACTTCCGCATCAACCTCGGGCAAGCCCGACGAAATGGATCATCGCCCACCGAGAGACTACCCTTTCCTTGTCGCTTCCATTAAGAGGCGGGTCGACAGGTCGGGGGAACATGGGAAGTTAAGAAGGAAAAGGGATGCGAGCTTCATAAATGCACTTTTTGCATAAAGCAAAAAAAAAAAGAGAGGCACCTGTAAACAAAGTTTTATTCCCCCAGTTCCATGCTCGAGGAATGTGGAGGATTTTTTCAGAGTACTAGTTAGTAGAAGCAAAAAAAATCATTTTATAGTCCCTCGAAGGCCCGTTCACAAATACGTCGCAGCGTTATCTCGGTGCTATAGACACATCGTTGACTTTGCGCCATGTTAGCACCGTGTCAGAGCTCTGCTGCCTAGTATGGCACACCGTGCATTCACGAGGGCGCCCATCAAACCACTCTGCCATCTTGGCCGCGAGGCTCGCCTCAGACACGATCACATGGTCGTGTCGCTGCAGGGTCGATCGGGATCTCGAATTCGGCTCCCGACGTGCCGCTTTCTCTCCTAGCCACTGGATGGCGCTGCAGGCGCCCCATGGCGGGCAAGGAGAAACCTCCTCGCCCATTGATCGAGATATACTTGGTGGGCCAGGGGGCGAAAGGCCTCTTAGAAATTAGAACTCCGGACGAGACCGAGACGCAGGCAAGTGGGTGGCAACCGGATCTAGGGTCCCAAGAAGGCCCCCAAGAGGCTTGGGGGCCTTCTTTGTGTTTAGCTTTGGGCTTAACGTGCGTTTGTAAATATTTGTGTAATGTCGCGCATATTTCTAGTTTAGATTGAGTGTTTTGTAGCGTTGTGTTTTTGTAGCAATAAACGGGGAGTGGAATCCCGCTCCCGTGAAAGAACCAGGCTGGACTCGGGTTGTTGACGGACCACGTGGGAAATGGCGAATCGGTGGCGGTACGCGAATTCCTACACTAGCTTGGCGTTTGTTGAGTCACCACTGACGGAAAGCATTAACCGCCGACTTTGCATCATCTCAGTGCCGAGATGCATGCGACTACTTGCCTTTAAACCGATGGGATTCATCCTTTTATCGTGGAGTTTCCCACCAAAGCTCGTATGTTCGCAACCATACTGGATAGCATCGTCAGTGCAAACAGAGCTAGAGCTGTAAGAACAAGCCTGCTGCCCCGAATGACCGCACGATAGACAAAAACTGTTCAAAGCGTGGTGCCAGTTCTTGTAGCTTCTCTGCTCGTAATTAGGCCGATATAAATTCCAGGTTTACTGTCCTCTTTCTCTAGTCACTTGACACAACAGCATGTGCCCTCGTGTGGTATTGCAGATAAAGAGGGGATCATGAAATGAGTAGGCACAAATAGTGAGACAAACCTCTCGTTAATGTAGAAGGTCCTTACTGAATAGCGCCGCCGTCATTCTTACCTGGACGACATTTTCAATGCGCTCCAGCAGCTCCTGGGGGCCCACGCTGCCTGCTATCACCTCCAGGGGAATCCCGTTGCAGCCAATGAAGAAGCTCGAAGGCACCACCACCACGGGGTCTGGAGCCTGGCTCAGGAGAAATCTTTGCACGCGGATGCTTCGTTTGCCACTCAGCTGAGACGGCAGTGCTGCTACACGCTTGCCAGACCGATTGTTAGAGCCCTGCATATTTGCAGATTACCCGCGGATATCTGCAGTCCATGGATTGGATGCGGATGCCAGGGGCTGCAGATATCCGCAGGTGCACATCTAGATTTTTGCTTTGGCAGCCCACAAACGTGTGCCACTAGAGAGGGTAGAGTCAATAAGTGAGTGATATTATGAAGAGCATTATCAGATGTTTTGCAGGAGCAAATAACTGTGAAACAAAGTACCAATAGGAGAGAAAATTATTTTTTGTGCCAAGAATGACTCGATTCTCACCTAAGATTGCTTTAGGGTGTTCTATCTTGCCAAAGGTGCTATCCATAGAAAGAATTAGATGCAGGGTGATCCAATGTGCTGGGAAAACGTGTTATTGTTTGGCAGTGAAAGAGTGCAAAACAATCTTCGGGCAAAGACAACCAAAATCGTACAAGCCACAAGAAAGTAAAAGAAGCCTCCTCGACAAGTGAAATGTGGTGTGCGTGTTTTTTCTTCTCAACCATTGGCAAGTTGCTGCTAAGTATTTGGTTGGGAGCATGCAGTTGTGGGTTTGTGTTGAAAACAGAAACCAATAGGCGGTGTTGCCACGATGGAATATTGCAATATCTGTTCAGTGGTGTACTCCTATCTTGGAAAATGTACACGAGAATTCAGCTTCAGCGTATGACCCCTTTTCCTCTCCCGCTTTTTTATTGTTCGACCTAAATAAAATAACAATACTATTAGTCTGTCCAGGATGGTTCGAAGTATGTGTCTGCAATTAAAATAAGTGTTATAAGCAAAATAAAAAAAAAATTTTTTTCCTTTTTTTTTTAGCACATATTCTGGGCAGTTTTGCAGAGTACCAGGACAATCTCGTGACTGCAATCATTCTCCAGCGATGCAAAAGTGTCTCTGGAAGAATGGTCGCTTATAATATAAATATGATAAAACAGAATATGATAAAATTACTTTCACCGTGCTCCGACTCGAAGAGTTCTTCATTCGAAAATAAGCAAATGGCTCATAAGTAGGGTTCTGCGTTTTCGGTTTTTATTTTTTCAAAATTCGGCGTACTTTTTTCGGTGTTTATTTTAAAATTTAATTTTCGGTTTTTTTCGGTGTATACTTATTTCTCAAAAAGTTTACCAGTCTTTTTGGGAGAAATGAAAGGAACACCATCGGACACCGAATCAGATGATCCTTGTAGCCGTGATATTTGTGATCACTCAAAAAATAACGGCACATATACATACGTGGTCTTCGCTACAACTTCCATCAGGACATACCTCAGAATCGTAGAATTCGCGGACGTAATCTTCAGCGCGCTTCTTTTCCTTCCCATTCTGACGACATGACCGTCTGAGGTGATGACCGTACAAAAACGAACGGAATGGCAAAAAAAAAAAATTATTGTATTTATGTATTTAATTACAGGGAACTTTGAGAGAGGGTGTTAAGAAAGGCTTCAAAGGCTTTCCTTGATGTCCTCTGAAGTGCATGAAGCTAAAAACCTTACAATAGCCCACATCCAAACTTTTTTTAGGACGAACTTGACACACAAAGCCCGACCACAGAAAGGACACAGATGTCCCGCGAAGGCCGATTCAAGACCTCTTTTGTTGCATGTTGAACCTTGGAAGAGTGCAATCGCGAAGACGTCACACAGTGTCGAACCTCACACAGTGTCGAGCCCCGTCTCTATACCTCTCCCCCACCCACCTCGACGCGGCCGTAAAAACTGACCTTTTTCGGTTAAAACCGAATTTTAGAAAACGAATTAGACGTACTGTTATCGGTTTTTATCGATTTAAACCAAAAACGCTGAACCTACAAACTGACCTTTTTCGGTTAAAACCGAATTTCCGAAAATGGATTCGGCGTACTTTTATCGGTTTAAACCGGAAACTCCGAACCCTACTCATAAGGTACCATCCAGACAATTTTTCTTTTCTTCTTTCACACTCGATTTTTGATGTAAAATGAATGCGCGATTGTGGGTCGAATGCAGTTTCGAATTTTGCGGATGCGGTTGAGGTACAAAGTATGCAAACGCGGATACAATAATTGAAGAATGTTGTGGATGCGGTTCAGGTACGGATTACAAGGTCTGCGGATGGGGATCGGATGATCAAACTGTTATCCGTGCAGGGCTCAACCAATCATCCTGAATTTCACGCGCCTGACCAGAGCTCCGCTGCCTGCGCTCGAGTGTGCGCAGAGAGCATGATCATGTGGTGCATGACTGAGTTGCCTAAATATGTGTTCACACACTTACGACCCTGCTTACAACAGAGTCCTTGCGATCTCTAACGACGAGAGAACACACCGGCAGACTGGCGCCATCCATGAAGTGGCCTTGGAACTGCATTTCACAAGTGCGAAGGTTTTGCAGTATTTGCGAGATCAAATGTACATTCTATCTATGAAAAAATGGTTGTCTAAACAAGTTTTTCGAGCCACAAAACAAAGAGTGATGCGCAAAAAAAAAAGCAAATATATGAAAATGTGAAGCATTCCCCGGCCGCTCAAGAGACAGCACGAGAGTGTTCCCTCGTCCCAAGAGATCCCAAGAAGTTCTAAGGCATTTGGTCATAATTAGGATTCCATGTTTTCGGATAAATCCTAGAAACCTCGAAAAACACTCGCCGGTAAAATTGTCGTCATTTCAGACTCGTCCAAAAAACTTTAAATTTCGAGGTCACAATAACAAAAACTAAAAGAAAAAAAGACGGTATTTTACGATGCAAGTTCACCAGAATGCAGGGTTAGGGGTCCTAAGGAGCGACCACATCACTGTTTTCCCCTCTTTTAATGTAGGATCATTTGCAAGAGGGAGTGCCTTTCTCGTTAGGGTTTGTTCGGTACAACTAAGTACTTCTAAGTAACTAAGTAACTAACTAAGTACTAAGTACAATGTACTTCTGGGCGACAACCAAGGCACTGCTCCGGTCACCAATTTCGGCAGTGCCATCGTGCTTCTTAGAGAGAGGAGTGCTTGTGTTTTTATAACAGGGAAAGACCTCTAGACTCGATAGGAGGGCAGCTGAAGCGCTTAAGCTTCCCTACCAATATGTCCAGGAACTATTTCAACGTACCGACGCTTATCGAAGCAACACTCGTTAGCAAAATTTGTCGTGGTACAGTTAGACCCGCCAATCGCGAGGGCGCCAATGCTAAATGTAGCTGCAAAAATATATTTTGATACCAGCCAATTTTTTTAAAATTTAGGATACGCTTTTGTCCTTACATTCATTTTTATACTGAATTTAAAAAAAAAGCTGGAACGCAGTAAAATTAAGCTCAGAATTTGAGAGAATTTGTAATCTAACCAAAACAAACTCCGATAAATACCTTTCGAATTTCACAAAAATAAACTCTAAAAACATGGAACCCTATACTCTGTTTCACTTTAAGTGTGAGCATAGCAGAAGCTACAAGAACGAGCTCCGGTCTTCCCTGCCAAGCACGCACGCTCGTGCAGTGCAAGCGCTGTTCAGGGCCACATGCTCGCGTTTGCAGCATTGATTGCATCTGAACTTAAGCTGAAACGAATTAGTGTCGTAATGCAATGCGAGTGTGTTAAAGAACCATAATTCAACGAGCATGCAGCTTTCATCACCTTGTAGCGCAGCAGTGAACTTAGCCCCCTCTCTCATTCTGGACGCTCCGTACAATTCTGCACATACTTGACGGGCAGGTACTTGCAGATTTGCTTAAAATGACACTGTTTTAAACAAAAAATCAAAGACCCTTCATTATATAAGCGGTGCAATGTGAAAAAAAACCAAAAAAACATTTACTCATATGCGTTCTACTCCGCAATGGCAGAGTAGAACGCTCTTCTACTCTGCTGTGGCAGGGTAGAGGAGCAAATGACAATGATTTATAAGAGAAGATCAGAGCATGAGGAGCCCCAAGTAAGATTTGGATCCAAAACAGTGACTAACACTGTGATGTTGACAAGCTCAGAACGACAGTGCATCCATCTTGAAAAAACAGTTAGGGCGCAGGCGAGCTGGTGTAAGTTTACCATTTTTTTAAACATCATTGTGGCTGCGAAGTCAAGACGTGTCCCCTTGGTGCCTTGATTTGTAGTGTTTTTTTGGTGACGATTTTGGGTTCAGGATGTATAAAAGGAGAAAGAACTGAATAGAGTGGTTAGCTGTGTTTGAGACGTCGTCGTGGTTCTTCCACCCAGTCTCAGGTGGTCTAAAAAATGGCATCCATCTTGTCTCGTTATTCGCTGCTCTTCTTCCGTGCATCACAAAGGTTGGATTTCCAGATGTAGAGCAGCAAAGTAGACCTTTGAACTTCGATCACAAAAGGGGTGTGGTAGGTGCGACTGAAACTGGAGGTTGGGATGTTGTAAAAGGATACAAATTTGTGAAAACTGCTGGCATGGCTCACTGAAAAAACAAGAAGTGACGAAGGTTATACAACGTCGGCACGAAAAAAACTAAGCAGCCTACGTATGCTCTCAATCATCTGATGCAGCCATAAGATGACTGCTTTTACAGCTCCACAATCATCATTTTATCCGTTCCAGTGACTGGGAGAGTTCTTTACACTTAAAAGAAACTAAACATAGACCTGTTCACAAACAAGCCCGTATTTGTCCGCACTACATACGGGTACTACAAGTGCACAGGAACCACATCCGTGACAAGTGTTGATCTCTGTGCTTTGCAATTATGCACGTGATGACAGCGAGAGTTTCCCAGATTTCTTTCACCCCTTCAATACTATTGTTCGTGGCAGACGATAAGCCGAGACCTAGCACATTGGTTACAAGCGAGTCTGCATTTTCCCACACTACGTGTGGGCACAGCGTGTGCACTACGCAGCGGCACCGCAGCTGCGAGACGTCGGAGCCAGGTGTTGGTGTACAGAACCGTTCATACCTTGGCAAACTTCCGTTGCTGCGACTGTGCCGATGTCGCCGCCAACGAGAATTCAGTGGATGCCCAAATGTGCAATGCGTTGCAGCATCCATTCTTGCCCTATCACTCGGATGAGAATATTCCAGCCTTTTATATTTTTTTTAAGGTGATGAGGTGTATATTGGGTGCGTCCTAATTGCACAAACAGTTCAAAGCTAGACTACTGCGAGGTCACCGAATAAATACGGTAAACTTTCACTTGAGCGAACTTCGGGGGACCCAAGGAAATAGTTCACGTAACTGAAAGCTCACTACACTGAATAGATTCGCTAGAACATGAAACAGCATAGGGCACGGCATACATCGAGTCAAAAAGGTGAAATGCAATATATGGAGGCACATACATCAATATACACAAAGTACATAACAGTTACGTTGCTGCCTTTCTCATTTAAAAAAAGAAAAAAATTTGTAATTTTCAGAACGTAAGGGCGCAAGTGAGCTGGTGTATATTAAACATTTTAGTGAAGAGCCCGAGACTGAGGTAATGACAGACGACGACAAGGAAGAGAAGGAGAACGTCTCAAACACAGCTCCTGTGTTCCTGAGCTGTGTTTGAGCTGATCTTCTGTGTTCCTGAGCTGTGTTTGAGACGTCCTCCTTCTCTTCCCTGTCGTCGTCTGTCATTACCTCAGTCTCGGGCTCTTCACTAAAATCTGTCATTTTCAATTGCATCGGCGCTCTTAAAGCGCATGAAGTAACAAAGCTGTCCAGAAATTCTACGTTTTTTTAACTTCTTCCGGCACAGCTTGTTGCTGTGAGGAAGCCCTGCCGCAACGGCATTCTCCGCTGGCTCCAAATATCCCGTGCAGAGTTGTTTCCTGTTGGGATGGAACGCAGTTTCTCCTTCGAGCTTAGACTTTTGCTTCACTATCGTTGACAATATCGACGTTGGAATCCCGTAGTCCTTCGCAACGTCCACTTGCGCTCGACCGAAGGATTGTGAGCTTATCTAATAGAGACACCCGCTTCCCGAACGGAACCGATGACCAAGAAAAAACACACTCCACGTGGTTCGTCCTCGTCTACCGCTTTGCTTCAGCGGCGCTGTAAACGCCAACGATGATACACCGCCGCTGCAGAGCACCAAACTTCGTTGAACTGATTGCAAAAATAATCCTGGGTCCACCAATCAAGTTCGTTGAACTGAAATATTCGCTGTTCAAAAATTCGTTTAACTGAAACATCTTTGCATAGAACGCATAGGAAAAGCAACGGGGAATTTTATAAAGTTTGTTATTCCGAAATATTTGTTAAACCAACATCCGCTCATGTGAGAGTTTACAGTATTGGTCTACCATTATTGAAGCTGCAAATAGAACGTTGCTTGGCTCATTTGCTACTACTGTCAACACCGACACGCATGCTTCACTGCACCACAAGATATGCTTTTTTTTTTTTCCAGACAGAACGTCTCGGGTAGCGAGGGGAAAGGCAGATTTGCTCTGCCTGATGGGGCTCAGTTACCCGTATACAGTGCTCAGCAAGCAAAAACGACGAAACATTAGAAAAATAAGAAGTGCAAAAAAACACGGTGAAATAATAACACATAATAAAAAAGCAACAACGTAGTACCATATTTTCCGGGCTATATGTGAAAGTTTAGGCTGTGCGGACTATTTCTGCATGCAAACTATGCACGAATTTTGTTTTTCAAGTTTGTTGATTATAACAAGACGTGGCGGATTTTGCGAATGAAAGAGTATGTAAATGACGATTTATGTATAATACGAGCTTCTTTCTTTAGCCAAAAAACCAGACATTTGCCAAAGTGTGCCGTGCACGAGAAGATTTTCGTGTCGACTAAGCACCAGGTGCAACTATGCCCGGCGGGCGGACTATTTAAGCAAAAGCTTTTATTTTAAATCCCAAATTTGCGTCTGTGGACTATACACCAGGGGCAGACTATTATAGCCTGGAAAATACGGTATGTACAATGGCTACTTAAAATAATTGTACGGGATTAGACCAAAAATCAAGTATGCATATGGGGTACATCCAACGAGGCAGAGGGGCTTAAAGTGATAAACTGGTATCCCGTCCACTAGGCAAAAGTGACCCCCACTTGGCTGCCGCCATGTTGTACAATTTTGACCACTAGACATGTGACCGTACCAAATCCTGAGGCTTTTACGCCAAACTGAGCAGAAATTTGTATTGCGATCGCTATAAAAAACACGATAAATTATTTTTCTGATACTGTTAGCCCTAGCGATCAGTGTCTGGCTCCGATAAAAACCCAAAATACAGCACCACGGCTGATGGCATCTAGCAAAGGCATTGCGAACCTGCCCAAGTTTTTGCCGTCAAAGCACATTTTGGACTTAAACGAAACGGAACTCATCTCGTCGGTGCTGTTATTAAAGATAAATATGCAATTATTTGTGTGCAGTACTTGGTTAAAATCTAGACGTAAAACTATAAGATCACATGTCTAGTGGTCAAACATGTGTAGCATGGCGGCGGCCAATTGGGGGTCCCCTCAACTGCCAGTTAATCTTTCTAGGTCCCTCTACTCTACCTCGTTGGGAAGATCCTTGCAATCAAGAAGACCAAGTAAATGACACATTAAAGACATTTACTCCATGGAGTATAATGAAAGGTACCTTTTTATGCAGTTTTTAAAGATGCGCCTCGAGCCACAGTTTCGCATAGTTTCTAAAACAACTGGATGTATGTTTTGGAGATCAGGTATTAAGCATCCCTACAACATGCAAGAAGGGGATAGGAAAATGGATAGCTGGGCGAGTTGGAGGGAATTCATCGTAGGAAACAGCGCACAAAACAGACGAGGACGAAGAAGAAACACAGGGGACGAGCGCTCAGCGCTCATCCCGTGTGTTTCCTTTTTGCTCTTGTCTGTTTGTCGTGCTGTTTCCTACGATGAAGGGGATACTCCTACTTAACCCATTATTTTTGGGATCAGTATGGAGTGACAAGGGGAGATCTTACGCATCATCAAGATGCAACGGCTTTTTTCAGAGCCTGTGACGGTGGAGATGAAACCAGCCCAACTGAAATGCGAAGCTGTACTTGAACTGGGATACAAGGTAATGGCTGTTGTCAACCAGAGGACCAACCTGCCGGCCTTGAGACGAATGGCCACGCACTGCGCTCCCTGCAGCTTGGAAGAGACATCCGCATTCTCAAATGTGTTGCACATGCTCTGCGAGAGCTCGTCGCTCCCTGCAAACAGGATCCCGGGCCATGGAAATCGGTCAACATCAAGAAGACAATAAAGAGGTTTCGAGACGCTTTTCTTTTTTTTAATGCAGCATGCACTGCACTTCAAGGGACACTGACAGGGTATTTGTGCTCGCCGAGGTTTTTAGTTGTACGTGATATACGAGAGCCCAACTACCCAGAACAGAACTTGCGACTCGAAATTCGGTTTCTTTCTGCCCGAAAACCGCCGATCGAGAACTGGCCAGTTTGAGTCGCGCTCACTCTCTTTTCCGTGGTCATGGGCCGTTTTCAAAAGTTTCGACGCAACCATTGAATTTAATCAAAGTCGTGGGTCATTGAAGGCACACAGTCAATACTAAAAATAGAAAAAAATATGAAACCCATTTTTTGTGGCTCCAAAAAGCTGCAAGTTGATTGAAAAAAAAAGGTATCACAGACAACCGGAAGCATTCTGTACGTTCACTGCATAATTCCAACATGGCAGCTGCGTCGTTTCGCGTATCGTGGGACTAGCGGATGGCAGTGGACGACGGGCATTAGACCTCTTCTTAAGAACTGTCGTTCACGGTGCCGGCGAATTCTGTCTTCCTTCGAAAGAGAAATTTTGGACCGATCAAAAGAATTGATATTCATCCCGTACGACACGCCCGACCAGCAAGCCGATTGCACGAAGACGTCGCCGAGCCGTCGTCTCTTCTCGTGGCTGAAGACATCGCTCGCTCAAACGTCAAGCACGAAGTGCGCACTTCGAGTGGAATATGCGCGCGTACGGCTTCTTTGCGAGGTGCGAATGTAGCATATGCGTGGTGCTGCCCGACTTAAAGCTGGGAGTGCATGAATTGAAGGGAAATCTGCAACAAACTTCCGACATACAGGCTACCTGCTGCATTACTACGCATGATTGGGTTCCTTCGGTAGCTCACTGGAAAGATGTCCGCTTCACACGCAGTGGGCACGGGTTCGATCCCTAGTGTACCTTTTTTTGTTTCTTTTTTGTCAAAAATTTTGTGCTGTTTACATTTATTTTTTTACAATTATCACAGAAAAAAATAATTGTTGTGGACGATACGTCGCTGAACTAAATGGTATGGGATTCCATTTTCGACATCTGCGAACTCAATATAGTCACTTTCCACAAAATGCAAGGAGCATATGAATCGGGTAGCGTCCGCTTTCCGAGCTTCGCGTAACTGTTCTACAGGAATTGCAGCCAGCCATTGATCCTGACCCACTGATCTTTCGGGAACTTGTGCACTCTGCCGCACAATGCCACTTTCAGATGCAGAACATGTGAGGCAACTTTTCACGCAACATCTTGGGAGTATTCTTTTCGGAGTCAATTACGGGAATTCACCATGGCACTCGGGCACTCACTACTAATTGCCAACACCTAAATGTACAAAACAACTCATCTTGAAGTACAGAACAGCGAGCGGAACAAACATAACCGCAAAGGAATCGCACGGCGAAGGAACGCATTTCGTCTGCTACGTGCGGAGAGAAAAAAAACAACCAAAACAAAAAAACCTTGCACGGTCAGGTGTAGCCACGTGACTTCCGCCACTCCCCCACTCTATCCTCTCCACTTCTCCGTGTGACGCGGGAGTTTCGGTTTCGAGCAGTTGCGTTTTTTGGCTTTATTAAAAAAATACGTGACTCTGTAGCAAAATATTAATTGGGTAGTATTCCGACACCATAATAAAGCGCCTGACAAAAAGGAAAAAAAAAATTTGGGGGGGTGTCAGTGTCCCTTTAAAGGAGTTATGAAACGCTTTTCCAACTTTTTCCTGTTTAGCTTTCCTCCTCAACTCATAAATCGCACATTCTACCAAACAGTTCAAAAAGACGGAAAGGGGGGAGTCCCCTCTTGCTCTGACTCGTTTGTGTACCCGGGCACAGCCATTCTAACTCTAGAAGATTAGCCCGTTGCTCAAAATTCAGACAAAAGTTGCTTTCCCCACCCCGTTCACCCCGAAGCTGACAGTGCTATGGAAGCTACGTGCTCGTTGGGCCAGCCACACCTTTGCCACGCGATCACGCTCTCTCGCGCATAGCCACGTGCAGAGAATGAGGTCAGGTGATGAAAGGGAGGCGGTCGATTGGTCCGGCAAGCGCGTAGATTCCATCACCATGTCAGCTTAGGGATGAAGGGATTAAGCAAGGTCCGGTGCCGTGTGACGTTCATTTGGGCCCGGTGACGCGCTGCGGGGACCGCGGATGTATCATAGTGAAAAGGCAGAGAGCTTACGAAGGGAAGGAGGTACAAAATAGTCCGCCGAGTTTTCAAATTTGCGTACCGAAAGCCAGGCTTTTGACTTTCTACCTTTTTTCTTTTGGCCCACTGAACGATGTGCTATTAGTAAAATCCCAATATAAATTGATTTATTCTAGCCCAAGATTCGTTTCATGGGCCCTTTAAGGGTTGGGATCCCTGAGAAAAGTGTGACTGAATGTCACGGAAATTACTATGAAATGTGGAACAAGTACTGCAGAGAACAATTTGTACAAAAGAAAGGTAAATTGAGAAAAAAAAAAAAGACAATTACAGTTCTGTGTAATGCAAAATTAGAGCACAGCTCTTGAGGAGGAGGAGAAGAGGGTATGGAGGGAAGGGTATGCCTCTCCTCCTCCTCCGCCTTCCCTCCTCCTCGCCTCCCATTTATCGGAAAAGTTTTGCCGAATTTCCCGCTACATTTAGCAAAAATTTCCCCGCTAAATTTAGCAGGCGTCCCATAATGCAATGCGTGCGGTTACGCTGATGCCGGCGGCGACGTTGCTCAACATGGAAATGGGCGCCTAAGAGCTGCACTCTAAAAACAAAATTCTAAATGCGCCCTGTAAGGATCGCTTGAGGATTTGATCGTTTCCTGTAAAGTGAGGTGGTTGACCTTCAACCGTTAGGATGGGGGCACCCCGACGACTCGCCCCAAGGATAAGGGGAGGAGCAGCTTGAGCCCTTTTTCATCTTTGGCCCTTGAAGGAGACAGAGACAGTGATGTGATTGGGCCTACGCCATTTTGGAGCACCTTTTGGAGCAGCCAATACAGTGTTTTGGAGCAGCAAAAGTGGCCTTCAGAGCAGCCAGAACACTGTTTTGGAGCAGCAAAAGTGGCTTTTGGAGCAGATATTGATAGAAAAATAAAAATATTTGTTTTAAGTGCTGGACAAATGAAGGGCACTTCGTGCTGTGTTTTGACGGAACTCGCCGTTTGTGTTTTTACTGCTGACATCCCAGAAGTGTACAGTGTTGTAGGCGTTGCCAAGCAATTCGAAAAAGAACGCTTGCCACCATTTTACTGGTACCCGACGTGCCAGATTTTTGTCAAAAGTATGCAAACGTAAAGCAATGGATTGCAAGCGTCCCGGCTGGTGCCTCTGTCGTGCAGTCATGCTCACATGCACGTGAGGGCAACTTCAGCAGGCTTGTAGTGGCACGTGCTTCGTCGCGCGAGCGGAGGCGACGGCTGTTCAATCGAAACTGAGACCATGCCACTCCGCTCCGTCGCCAACTGGTTCCCAAAATAGTATGCAAATTGTAACTGTCCAGCAAGCGACAAAAACAGTTCAGCGGCGTGTGCTTGCCAGGCCGGCAGGCAAGGTACAAGCTAAACATACAGAGAAAAAGAACCTGAGTGCATCGATGCATGACATTGCGAGCCAGGACCAAAAGGTTCTTGCGGCGCTTTGTGCAATGACAGAACTTGAGACAAACAAGCGCAATGTGCGGGTTCAGCGTGCAGACATTGCCTTTTTTGCTTTAGCTCCCTTCTCTTCACCAACTTTCTTTTGGGGCAGATTTTTCACATACCGGGGTCCCTCTCGAAAGAAAGCCCACCGAGAGAAACCTAGGTAATCAATATTTCGACAAGCACTCTTTGAGTTAAAGAGGGATTTTTGTACTAGAGTATGATTTAAACGAGGAAAGGAATGTCGATGAACGAATTTAGACAGCGCCGTATCTGCAGTGACGTGTGGACGGCAACACCCGACGTCGCGCGACCACACTGACTGCTGTCGCGCAAGCGCTTCAGCTCACAAAGTAACTCTCGCCGCGCAAAAACATGGTTTCGTTTCACAGCGTGACGGCATGACTGGCACCCGGCACACTAGCGTCGGAGCGTCTGCACATGGCCGCGTTTATCGTAGAAAAAATTAAAAAAAGGCGCGAGACGAGAATCTTGAGACGACGAGGGCGCGAAACGCGAGACTACAGCCTCTGTAGCGAGACTATGGTACCTGGAGCACGTCTCCGACTGGTGTGTTTAGCGTCCTATCCCGCCCATACAACAAAAGTGGTCCCTAAAGGGCAACAAATGACGTCACAGAAGCCGGAGTGTCATGCTGTTGCCTGTCGCGATCCTGGCGGTTGGTCGTAGAAATGCTGGCGAAAACCATAGGCGAACATGAGCATCACTGTTGTCACGACGTTCCAGGCGTCCCAACTTCCGGCTGCCGCATTGGAGAGCGACCTGCTGCAGCACAGGCGTCTGCCACATACACCGCGGCTATTGGGACGCCGCCAGGTTCGCGACCGGCGACAGCATGACACTTCTATGACGTCATCAGGTGGAAATCGAGGGACTACCTTTCTGGACCTGGTAAACACACCAGTCGGAGACGCGTTCCAGGCACCGTAGCGAGACGGCGGGAAAAACCATGCCAGACCGGATGGACGATTGATGCAGGGTACTCTGTGTCGGGCGGCCTCTTGCGCCACCTAGCTCACGCATGCTCAATTACGGATCTCACTTAGTTTCGGTTTTGAAAGACGATCAAAATTGGTCCTTTGGTGCAGGCTTGGCAGATAACCCATATTTTGGCGAAATGTAGCAGGATGTGGCAGGGTTAGCCCCTTGGCGCAGTTTGGCACAGCAGTCACGTCACTGCAGAGACATTCTTGCCTGTCGCCGCGAGGTGAGGGTGTTTTCTCCGTAAAGTATCGCCCCGATGGGAGAGTTCCCCAGGGGGCTTAGCATTGTTTTTCTTCTTAGAAAAGGAAAAGAAAGGGTTTGTGGCCTCCCTGTGATTGGGGGAGGACCCGCTGGCACCGGGGCCAATAGCATTGTGTAATTGTCCCGATTGGATAGGCCCTGTGTCAGCGGGGAGTTTTCTCGACCATGCGGGTGGGAAAACGTCGAGTTTGGACAAGCCCAGGCACGGAGCAAGTTATCTCCCGCGGTTCGCCGGTCCGTGTAGCTTTGTCGCGAGCGACAAGAAGTTTCTTTCAGCCTGACCGTGCGCGGTGGGCGCTTCGCGTTGAGGCGCGTTTTTCGTCTTTTTACTGCCGTGAGCGGACAGTAGAGTTTTGTAACAAAGTTTGCTGTCACTGTTTTAGTATATTTGTTTTTATCAATCGTTGCTCTCGCGGTTGAGCGTCTTTCCTCGAGGCTTCGCCACCACCAACGAGCAATGAAGCAACAGTCCAGCGCGGTAGTCCACAATCGCCCGGCCCTGACCTTCGACTTCTAGGAAGGACCGGAACAAAACGACCTGACCCTCAAAAAGGGGCGTTCTTTACTCGCCCCAATGGAAATCGAACACCCGACCCCATGATTGTTAGTTTGACATTTTACCAGTTAAGCAATTAGTGGGTAGACGCAAAGCTAGCTAGCTCTACCACAATGGTCTCTACCACAAGCTCCAACGAGAACATGAACTGCCGTTAAGCATTCGCGTTCAAACAGTTTATGGTAAGAAGCAAGAAATCCAAGACGTGCCCACCATTACATACAAAAGAACAGAGATTGAAATACAATAACACGCTCTAACCAAAAAAACAACTAAACAAAACAACTGCAGTGTCCATTGCAAATTTTGAAGAATGCCACGGAAACATAGTCTGTGTATACCGACTTTGCTTTATTCAAGGCATCAAGATTTTTAAGCATTTTCTTTAACTGCATATGCCCACTGTTTCAGAAAACAGCGAATTCTCTCTGCTTCTCACAATACAACGAGAGGCAAGAATGTCCGGCAGAGAGCTGACTTTCTTCCAGTACGTTAGGGCAGTCACCGACTCAAAACACAGGTGACCAGTTACGTTTTGGGCTAAGAGGGGGAGAAAGCACCACTTTATTTCCTTCGACTATTCACATGCTCTTGCTAGTTGCTGTACAGAAGCATCCAACTCAGGTCATTATTCAGCTCTAAAAATTATTTTGGGGTTAATTTTATTTGATTGGATGAAAAAAATTAATCAAGATATAAAACGATCAAGTTCTGGGGACCACCAAAGAATACACAGAGGGCCTTTAGCTCTTGTCTCAGATATTAAGTGATGGAAAGAGGTCATTTGGGTTTTAGCAGGTTTTATATAGCTTTTGTTAAAATAACTTCCAGCATTTAGAAGTCTACAAAGACGAACCGTTTTTTGTATTGCATGCATATATATTTGTAAACGAGTCATTACGCCACCACATATGATGGCCTGATTTTTCGCAGCAGATAGTGTGTTTCATTTCATAACTGGGGCGTTTCCACTTTCCAGAGAAAGTAGACGTATTTTTAAGAAATACAAAACAAAAACGCAACACCAGCCATCACTGCCGGGGCCGCAACCGTATGTAAACCAGCGTTTTATTAAACGAGTAAAACGTTCGAGCAGCCTTACAGCTACGTGTCGCTGTTGAGAAAAACTTCGCTACATAAACCAACACATTGGTCAGAGTTCGAGTTTTCTCGGGATTCATACGGCCGCTCGTAAGTGCAACATCGCCTACCGTTCGATGTTTTTTTTTTTGTTTTTTTTTGGCGAGATGTTTTTTTTTTTTTTGCTTTTTTTTAGTTCCCCCGCTTACTCATTTTTGCCATCCTTTCCACACTAATGCGTCGTGAATCGCAGTGTGAACAAGTCCGACTATCTGCGAAGTGGTTTTGTCTCTCCCGAGTGAGATAAAAAAACACGAGAAGGAAGTGTGCGTACCTTCGATGAAGACCAGAAACACTTGCTGCTTGGCCTTGGCCAAGGCGATCGCCTCAGGAATGGAGCCTTCGAACCACTTCATGCTGACTGACGATCCTACGAGATGAGTACTACCACGATCGCGACGCTCACCACTTCACCGCCAACATGAGAGTTTTCTACCTTCTAATAAGCGGACGCAGGAACAAATGCACGTCAGCCATGGGTGCGTCACAACATGGCGCCGACCTTTAAATCGAGTTAAACAATCCGTTGCTACAGCCGTTGCTAGCCCGATGTTAAAAGCTACGCGAAAGTAGAGAGAAGTGATGAATTCTAATTAAAACTCTCATATTTGTTTTAAGGAGTTTATTTACAAAAAAATGAGCGAATTTATTTTAGACAAACTTTGTTCTCTCGGCCCTTAACAGCAAATTAGAGAGAATTCCCGATTCCTCTGTTGGCAACATTGTATCCAGCATTTCGCTTTTTTTTTCTTATTATTTTCTTTTTTTGACTTCCATGCTTTTAACTGACGTGTACCGCTTTCGGTGGATGCGGTGACGCTTGTATTTGAGTGAAAGTACTGGACACAGTCGAGCTTATTGTTTCTAATACAGTACAATCGACCACAAAGAACCATGTTGGGCATGTTAGACGACCTAAAGCGGATGAACAAGCGGCAGGTAGGTGTGCTCAGCCGTTCGGCCTTTTTTATGCATCTCTCGTCAACTTTTAGCAATGTAATTTCACTCCGTCTACCCCTCGGGCCCCAGACACGTTTCATGTTTATCTTTTGGGTTCAAAAGTACGGCGTTCCTGTCCAGCCTTGTTGGCGCAACGCGTACCAAACTTCCCAAGCTCGCAATCTGGAGTGGCGTACGCTTCTGCATATGTTTGGGTCGCGATTGATGCTCGAAAGAGCGGCCGTTTTCCCGTGGTCGCTGAGCTGCTGTGCTCTGCGACGCGTATGGGCCCAGCATTAGTAATACGTGTACTCAATATGTGTAAGGTGTCTTGGCAAAAAAAATTGGTGAGCAGATTTTAAAGCTTGCTTGAAATTGATGCCCGGCGGGTGTATCTTGTTTTTTCAGCTTCTCTACCAGGTTTTAAATTTCGGCATGATAGTTTCATCAGCTCTGATGATATGGAAGGGCCTGATGGTTGTCACGGGAAGCGGAAGCCCCATCGTGGTTGTTCTCAGGTACGCTTTGCACACTATTTCATACAGTTCAGCGCGCTTGCTACTTCTGTTCTTGGATCCAACAGTGCTTTTGCATCCGATCCTACTATCCAGTAAAGGATTCTTCCTGCTAGAAGCCCACAGGAAGTATGGCTTTAAGGTTGAGGAACATGAGATGATGGCACGCAACATGCAGGTCACATATGAGATAGAGAGCCACAAAACCCTTTTCGATATGTTGAAATTGTGTCTGCATTAGACAGGATAGATAGTCGGGAAGATTGTTTGCTTATGGCTGTAATTTATTGGAGAGATCTGTTCGCCTCATGATGGTTTTTCAATGAAGACGAAGAACACCCTTTTGCATCTACCTACAGTTGCCGCCTGCATATGATGCATGCCCACTTTCATCACTGTAGGAAGGAGTGTGATAGTAATCATCCTCAGATTGCACGATTTGGTTAATCAGTTTTCTTAGATGCTTCTTAGGAGAGTGGAAATTGAAGCAAGCTGTGTGTCATATAAATTTGTCAATTTACAGCTTAGAGCGGAACATTGCAAAAATTAATATTCTCTCGTTCGCTCAGACTATCCACTATCCTTCGTTTCAGCTTCGGTCTGAGCGCGGCTGATGTTATGAGCCGGAGGGCCAATCAAACAGCGAAAGAGGCACAACGTCGTGGTGTGCTCTCTGCAGTTTATAGGACCAGCTGGTATTCCCCATCTCTGTGCGCGCTTGTCCGCAGGCTAGTCCTATCAAGCGCAGAGAGCACGCCATGACGCTGCGCTTTTTGCGCTCTTTGATTGGCCCTTCGGCTCATAACATGGACCGAAGCTGAAACGAAGTATAGCCCTATATCATTTGTAAATGATTCACATGGCCTTACGCATCAGGCTCTTGCACTTAATTATACCTTAAATACTTTCAGAGCACAAAGAGTGGATCTGTGGCCATTCTTTCTGCTTTGGCCGAGTTTGATACAAAGGCTTCATTCCCAAAAAGCCGCCCTGTGTATTTGCACCAGATGCACTGGAGTGTTCAGGTTATATAGACACATCACCTTGTATTTAGCACGGTCAAAACTAGTGTGCCTATCTTTGAGTTTTCAGCTGCTTGATTGGGATAACATGGTTTATGAGCTGCATTTGCAATACAAGCTGCGAGGAGGAGGCAGAAGCATAGATTATCTGCTCTCGCGCATGAGTATCCAATCTGCGCAGGATGTGTCCACCATTAAACTACAAACACTCTCCATAATTTGAGTTACTCCTTCTCTTAAATTTAGGCTCTCTAGTCAAAACTACAGCAGTAGTATGCATTCACTTCTCAGCAAAGTCCCCAGCAGATGTAGAGCGTAATAGTGGTCAGAATGCTGCATACTACTGTGTGGTTCAGAGCTGCTAAGCCGTATAAAATTCAGCGATGTGATTGCTGCACCAAAGTGCTTACCCCGCTACATCCTACTGTATTCTACCATAATTTGAGGAATTTGCACCAGCATTGCGCCAAAACTTAATTTCACTTTAATTACTACCGAAAATATATTAACTGGGGCCTCGCTACCTGGCCGGATCGTTACAATAAACTTGTGCAAGTTTTCAGAACTTTTGATTATCGCCTCTTATAATCTACTATTCGATTGCATTTTGTATCAAAGATTGACAGTACTCGGAAGTTTCGCAATAATTCTGATGTTTGGGGTCTCTTCTGGCAGGTTAGTTACGCTGAATGCACTGAGCACTGGTGTAGTGCAGGGAAGCGGGAACTGTGTGCTAAGGGGAAAGCACTCCTCCAGAGCAAGACGTGGCACAATGTCGGAATCAAACTTGGGCTTGTAGACACCTTCCCGATGTATACAAATCTGCAGCCCAGCGTGCGATCTTCACAGGCCAGCACGCACAAGCTCGTGTCTTTTGAAAGCGAAGAAAAATGGTGTCATACGCTAACTCTGGAGATGGCGCCTGCCTGAGGCTCTTTATTGGAACAGTCTGGACGCCATATTTCAGTGTGCTATTTTTAGCGGATGCTCAGAACGACCTCAGAATAATAGGCTGCTAAGACCGGCAACCTCAATGATTTGGAATGCACGTGGCAAAAGAATTGTGGATGCTCACCGTCAGCACATGCTCAGCAGTAGTGCACATAGCTATGGCCACCACTGAATACCCCCTATGCTGCTATATCTTGGTGGTATCTTTTTTTCAATTCGAGATTTTGGAAGGATACTTCTGCATTGCAACAAGATTTATATTGACTCTCCTGTAGGTTTAGCTTTTATGCTTTGCTTGTATCTGGTTAAGTAGTACAGTTTTATTATCACCTCTAGAACTTGAAGAGAACATAGATTGAGGTGCTAAAGTTATTGTATTCTAACATTATTTCAGCGGGATTTCGTACCTTAAATAACCATTTACATCAGTGTGTGCCTGGTCTGGTGCTTCTGTAAGCGACTTAACAGCCAGTTCTGTGTTTGAGAGAATCACTCCTGCTGTGCAGTCGACGCTCACAAAAGGTTACACGTAATTGAGATGGCAAAGTAGGCATTGCCTTTTAGTTGGACAGGCCAGCGCATGAATCTTAATGTAATATTTGCAGTGATACGAATGAAAATGAAGTGTGCCTTTATGCTCCAAAATGGCCTTTTGACTGCTCCAAGAGCTGTTCCAAAGGGATTCGGACCAATCGTATCACCAAAGATTCCTTGGAGCTCTACTGTATCTCACTACAGCATGTAAGCTAACGCTTTTAAGGTAGACGGCCCGCAAAAATTGTTTTCTCGACATATAGCGCTATAATTTACTACAGAGGTGCAAGCAGGTGGTAGAAGTTTACATTAAAAAAATTAAAAAATAAACTTACCTCGTTAAAAAAAAAAAAAAAAATCTATGCTGCCGCTTTGCAGACGATGGATACATGGATGTTAATGGTTATATTCTTTGTAACGGGGGGTAGCTTGCACCACCTAGCCTAAGTCTAAAAAGACAAAAACATGATTTTTCCCACCCTTCGAAGGACAATTTTCTCCTCCTAACTATCACCAGGCAGTGTAGAATGTGTAGAGAGAAGTATTGCCGACAAATTGCAGACGATCTTGCCAAAATACCAGAATGGGCTGGCGCTGCCTCGATACGGTTTACGCCATCTGTCGGCAGCACTTCTCCCTACGTGTGCATCGTCCGCGAAGTGGCGGCGTAGATTGCCCAGAACAGGTTTTTTTTTTTTTTCTTTTGAAGGACGTAAGTTCATTCCTTGATTTTTTTCACTGTAAACTTCCACCACTGGCTTGCCCCTTTGTTGTAAAATGCAGCACAATATGTTAAGAAACCAACTTTTGTGGGCCATCTAAAGTGCCTGAAAAGCGTTTCCATGCTGTAGCTGTCTGCAGCCGTACCAAAGGCACAGGGGCGGGAGTGTAATCCGAGCAGTTGGAGAAGAGGGGTAGGAAAAACTGCCCCTTTACCCCACCGTCTCTTCTCACCCCTCAAGAGGTTTGCCCGTCACTCAGTTTGTACAAGAGCGGCTTTCTCCACTGCCCGTAACTAGTGAGTAGAGTATAGGAGCCCTCTGTTTCAGTGGGAGCATGGAGCCAGCATTCCACCGGGGTGACTTGCTCTTCCTGACCAACTACAAGGAGGACCCGATCCGTGTCGGGGACATTGTGGTCTTCAAAGTGGAGGGGCGGGACATCCCCATTGTCCACAGGGTGCTCAAGCTTCACGAGAGGTGAGCAGCCACCGGGAAATCCCAAAGGAACGCCTACCCACCAAGAGGTGAATTGTGCAAAGTATGGGGCAGGCAATCTTTCACAATGCCACAATAAAATTTTATACAAAGACAAACGACGAATTTGTAGGATACGGGAACCGATACTGCAGATCGCAGATCGCAATCAGGGCAGCCTCGCTTACCAAGGTGCTATGTTTTTACCTGAAAGGTGGATGAGCAATCGGAAAAGAGGAAGCTCCTTCAGCTCCTTTATTTGAGAAAGAGGGAAACCTTCCTGTTTTCTGCGGGGAGTAGTGCAGAAGAGGGGAGAAGAGTGCAAAAGGGGAAATGGAGAGCAGAAAACAGGGAACCGGTTTTCTTCCAGGCAGAAGACAGTTTTGTAAATCTGCCTTTAAGGATGTTGTCGTCGATGAATTTATCGATCTATGCGGGAAATTTTCGACATGTCTAATTGCAATCCTTCCTCTTTTGGTTGGTTTGTGATGTGGTGGTTACTTGTATTGCGCGTCCATCGGCAGCCCACGTGTCTCGCTCGGTCGCACACTGCTCGGTGCACGAGCGAGCTACGCTGCATTGGATGGTGGCTTGCGTCACCTAGCCGACGGCGGTAACGACGGGGAAAAGCGCCATTGGCTGGATGGTGGAAGCTGCTGTGCACTATAGATGAGCAGTTACTGGGTGGGACCTGAAATTGCTTGGACGTACTTGAGACAGAAGACCTAGCGTTATAACTTGCCTAAACGAATGCCCCAGGTGGTTCAGTTGGGGTGCTTGGAACACATCTCCTACTATAGTTAGTGACAGAGTGAGCAAACGCTCCGTGCCTTTCGCTGCACTTCGGTTGCATGCGCACACTCAAAGTGTACAAGATGTTGAAGCGTTATTGAAGGTAGGATGCTCGCGCTGGAGTCGGCACGCCTGAAACTCCCCCTGCCACTTTCGCCTTGTCAGTGATCATGGTCTGTTTAGCGTCTTGTACCCTATGCATTGAAGCGTCTCCGAAATGGAAGTAAGGTCTCCGGAGAAGACTGCGGGCTCTCGCAATCCTTGTGGCTTATCGTAGAAACGTCGGCCAGGAAGCCCGGCGGACCCGTGTATTATTGGCATTATCGTGTCCCAGCCCGCGTCTGTCGGCTGGCTGAACACAGAGCGATCTACGGCAGAACAGGCATCCGCTATTACCAGCATTACCCAATTACGACAGCACCATGCTGAAATCGATGGACATTGTAAACATGTGGATAAACACACCAGACAGAGTTGCATTCTTGGCGCCGCAGCTCAGTTCACCCCATACACCAACTTATGGCGTCACACATCATTGTTGCTCTTGCTGTAGAGCGTGTCCACTGAAGATAAACGAGCTGAAAATGTAGAGCGCAGTTTTGAATTTTTCTCTTATTCGGGTGAACACCCCCAGTGCCACGTAGTCCAGAGAGAGCACGATGCGGCAACCACATGGTGCACAGCAGGCACGTGGCCAGGGGGGCCATGGGGCCCGGGTCCCCCCCTAAATCTTTCATTTTGCTGGGAGCTCCTCTCCCCCCTCCTCCTCATACAGCATTTTGTCATGGGCCCCCCCGAAAGAAAACCCTGACTATGTGCCTGGTGCACAGTGATAAAAGTGCCGCACCTAATTGCGCCATCAAGGAAAGTCTGCCACATCTTGCTTTAAAATTTTATTTTTGCTAAAAATTGCGCTACCCCTGCATAGAAACGGGCTTAAACGACGGAAGAAAATAAAAGTATCTAATTAGTGGCTGATTCTAATATTTGGAGAAGCAGAAGAAAAGGAAACTGGTACAAATATGTATTCCAGAGCATCTTACACACCATATAGTTTGTTCCGTCTTAGGTAAGAGCACGGTAGAATGCTCAAACACATGCACACTACGCATGACAGCCGCATGATGTTTTTTAAAATCTTTAGTTTACGAGGTTTCGCGGCGCGATTAATATTGTTTTTATACAACCATGTCTCACTGGTGATCTCGGGTAGTGCATCCCGATCTGGGCACGTCCTAACTTCGGCGGTAATTCACGGTGTGTCCGCTTGGGAGACGGGGGTTGGCATTCCCGAAACCCCTTCCATTGTTTATGTTTCGGCGTCAGAATTGCAGATTAAAGCCAAAATAGAATAGTCACAACACACGCTGTCGAATGCGATACTCCCGAACCAATACAAGTAGTCGTGCAGTTCCTCGAGTGGCCGCTGCGGGAGAAATGGCAGCATTGTGATCGCCATTAGTTCGGTTCTCGAGATTGGAGCTACTTTTTCGGAGCAGGCTCTATGGCAGTTTCCCAACTGAGTTGTTCTGGCAAAGTTGACCGTGGCACTCATGCTGCTTGCATCAACCTTTACCGCTTCACACCAATGCAGACGCGTCGAGCTTCACCACTTCACTTTGCACCAGAGTGTTAAGAGCGCCTGGCTTGGTGCAATTGGCTCGCAAATTGTAATCACTACTATTGCAGGTCGACCTTCTTCAGTCTTGACTCTAGGCTGACGTCCAATTTTAAAAAGGCTGGCCGAGAAAGAGGAAAAAAAAGAATAGATTTGAATAAATGAATAGGAATAATGAATAAATAATAAAATCAATGAATAGGGTAGTCGAGGCAGTTCTCGTGCCGCAGTCAATCGAAAGGGCAGCAAACTTTGGCTGAACTCTGGCCCCAATGCCACTAAAGCTACTTCTTAGAGCGCAACTGTAGGTTTTCATAATGATGTTACTGCAAAGAAGTTACAAAATTCGTGGGTGGTTGCTTTGGCAATTTATGGCGTAGGAATATTATAAACATTGAGCTTTGTAGAGAGAACCTGGGAGAACTTGGTTTTATCGATAGACGTCTTAGTGATTGTGCTGCATTTAGCTGGCATTTTATGGGAATTATATTTACTGGCTGAATAAGCTACTGATCGTAGAATGGGGAGGGGGGAAAGGCTTTATCTCAACTGATTATGCTTACAATTTTTTTAATACTAATTGTAAATGGAACCTACTCTGACCCGAACCTGATTTCTAGGAAGACGGTGGTGTGTTCCATTTGCTTATGCAATCACTTTTTCATCTTCAAGTGAGGAGCAAACAGTTGTTGGCATATGCTCCGAGTCAATATTTTGCCCGCTACAAAACCTGCTACAAAAAGTCAAATGCTGCTTTCATCACTGAGTACAGAGAGAGCTGGCAGAACAACGAGAAACCATTGTTAGCCAAACACAAATGCATAATACTTCACTGGCTAACTACACCAGCACATATGCCTTTATAGCTTGGAGTACAATGCGGCCTTGAACTCAATCGAGTTGATCCATTTTAGTGTCACTAGGTTGAAGGTTGTAAATCTCTGTGCCTGGAAAACCATGGCCAACCAACATAATTTCAATCTTTTTTTTTCTTTTTTTTTTCTGGTCAACTGGTATTGTATCTTGATATTTTTAATCCTTGGAGCTAATAATTGAATGCGACCCTGCTAGAGGCAAATGGAGCAAGCACTTGGATATGTTTGTTCCCTGATCCAGATTCCCTGTATGCAGCTCTGGGCATTCCTGGAAACAAAATTTAATTTATGCGCACCATGCTAATGCTGCTAGGGGCACGCTTACCCACCCTTATCTGGGGCACATATTTTGTGTCTGTGCTCTACTTTATTAGAAGGGCAACTGGGGCGGTTGGTTTTCCCAGAGCTGGCTCTTCATGTTTTGCAAGGAACGTCTCCCCCGATTGCCATTTCAGGAGCGATGGGGCCGTGAAGATCCTGACGAAAGGAGACAACAACTCGGTGGACGACCGGGGCCTCTACGCCCCCGGACAGATGTGGCTGGACAAGAAGGACATCGTGGGGAGGGCCAGAGGGTGCGTTCAGGCCCTTCACATTTCTCGAGACTTTCCTTCCTGCCCAAGTTACTGCTAGAAAAGCACATTGCGGGAAAATAAGTGTACAATAGACCCTCTTCGAAATTCAGTCTGGCAACTTTGGGGGTCAGCTAAAGTCTGGCAACTCTGGGGTTAGCTGAGGGAGTATAATTTAGATGCAGATTTGGTTAGGTTTCTTCAGCAGGTGTACACAGACAATAAGGTAGTTATAATGTGGGAAGCAGAAATTACACAACCTGCAGCAATAAAAAGAGGGCTCAGGCAGGGCTGTCCACTGTCACCTCTGCTCTTCGTGATATATCTCAGTGAAATTGAAAGGAAATTAGAGCAGAGCAATTTAGGTTTTGATGCGAGCTATATGGAAGGAGGGAGAAATGTACAGGACTGATGTATGCGGGTGACATAGTACTCATGGCAGTTAACCAGGATACGTTACAGGAACTAGCTGGAATATGTGGAGAGCAAGGGGACACCTTGGGCATGAGTTTTAGTAGTGACAAGTCTGGAGTAATGGTGTTTAACAATGAAAAGAGGGAGCCCCTGAGGATACAAGACATTGTAATAGACTAGGTAGGAAAATGCAAATATCTGGGAGTCTGGCTCAATGAGGGAAGAAAATATCTAGAGGAGTATGAGGAGAATATAATTAAAAAATAGAAAAGAAATTAATCTATTAGGAAGCTCAAGGTGCACTATAGAATTTTAAGAGATATGAAGTGGTCTGAGGTACATGGAAAGGAGTGATGGTACCAGGACTCTCTTTTGGCAATGCAGTACTCTGCATGAAATCAGAAGTTCAATCAGGATTAGAGATTTGACAAAGAAGCGTTGACAGATTGGCACTGAGAGCATATGGAAAAACACCAAATGAGGGAGTATGGGGGGGGACATGGGATGGTCGTCTTTTGAGAGCAGGGAGGCAATTAGCAAGTTGAAATTTGAACAAAGGTTGACCGAAATGGATAATACGCGGTGGGCACGGAAGGTATTCGAGTATTTATATGTGAAAAGTTTAAACACAAAATGGACAAACCGAACCCGAAAGCTTGCATTTATATCTCTACACACTAGTGATGTGTCTGAGCAAATTACTTCAGTGGAGAAGGGGGGTGAAAGAGGCAGCAAAGAAAATCTAGGAGGGAAGGATGCAGGAGAAATCAGCTCTGACAATACACAGGTCATGAAAGTAGGACATAAAGGAAAATACGTTTGACAGTTCACTGGTAAGGGCTTTGCTGTTCGAGGTGAGTGCGGGAGTTTTGAGGACGAGGACATATGGGCTAAATTTTGGGAGACACATTATTTGCTGCCTGCCATAATGAGAGCGAGACACTAGAGCACTTGGTTTTGAAGTGCACGGGGCTTCGCCTTGCCCTCCCTGAAAGGGTAACGGATTTGGCCGGGGCCTTGGGTTTTGCGAGCGATGATGTGAGGATGGAAGAGAAAAGGATTGCAGGGATAAAGAGGTGATCAGAAGATTGGTGGAAATTATCTAGGGAAAATTGAATGATGCACAACTAACTAGGTAGCACAGCTGGGGACAGGCGGGACAGAGGAAAATTGGCGACTCCCTCGCCGAGGCGAAGAGGCGGGGGGTGATGTTTTTAGTTCCTGATCCCCCGAAGGTCATCCAGGTGATAGCCCACACTGCCTGGTTATAGTTAGGGGGAGAATATTGGTCTTAGAAGGGCGGGAGGAATCATATGCTTTTGTCCTTTTAGACTTGGGCTAGGTAACGCAAGCTACCGCCCGTTACAAAGGGTATAGCCATTAACATTGATCCATGCAAGTGTGCAGTCTCAAGCAGAATAATCGGCTGGTGGACCAACTGTGGACCTTACAAAGCAGAATGTTGCATGACATCACCAAATACGTTAATGCGGGGTTGAAGTACCTTGCAGATCATGAGCGGGACAAAAAGACAGCCACACTCAGGGGAAAGGGAATCCTGGCAAAGAGAACTCTGAACGTTCAACAGGTACAAGGTGATCCGAGGTCCATGTATGATGGTCATCGTTCCAGGTGCCACTTTTACAAATGGTGTGCTGATACTCACGTTCCCAACAAGAGAGTTTCTGGAGAGGCGGCAGAGGGATGTGGGAAGGATGACCCTGGCAGTCAAAAAAGGCGATGTCAAACGGGGGAATCCGGGGTACCTCGGCTGCTCTACTTTTGAGGCGTGGGATCCGAGGCGAGCTACAGAAGCCGTCTCTACGGGCTGCCAGAGGAAAGCTGGGCTCACTGCACGCTGTGCTGCATTGTGTGCAGAGAGAGAGGCACCAAGTGGATCCAACGCGTGCGAAGACTACGGCAACGCTACGGATTTCCGGCTAACTGGCTTGAGGGTACAGGCAGGTGCAGAGTTGTAGTGTATTTGCACGAGAGATGTATCTCCGCGGCGAAAACTTTAATAAGAAAAACCGGCTACGTCACAAGCGTGCGAGGAGGATAAGCCGCAAAGGAGGGGACGACATTCGGAGATAACCAGGCTAGCATTCGCACGGTGGAGTCAGCTATGCTTTCCTTCAAGGCGCGGGGAAGAGCAAAAAAGCAAAACGGCGCTCGCTCATTCGTCGCCATTTCTATCAGGATGAGGCGACGCGAGAGGCGACAAGTATTCTGCGAGTCGTCGACAGGCCCTCTGCAGTTATCCGCAGGGGGGACAGAGAGTGACGCGAGTCATGCGACCTCCGAACTCGATGACGTATGCCCACTCCCGAGGCTGCTCCGCAGAAAAAACTCTGTGTGCAACTGCACCATTAAACCCGCAGAGCTCCTGGAAAACACACAGGCGGCAGAGACGACAAGGTGGACAGCCAGAATGCAGATGAAACGTTCCCTTAGACCAGGGGTTCTCAACCTGGGTCCGCGAACACCCAAATTGCAGTGCCCCCCTCAGTTTAACCTTCCACGGACTGAGCCGTGGATTGAGTTGGTGTACGTACGAAGCAATCTCACCCTTTGCACTAATATGTATGTAAATTTTACATTGTGCTCGAGGTTAACCTCTCTGCCTTCATTCTGTCTGTACCCCTCCATCTTGCCTTCTTCTGTCCGTGCAATGAACTCTCGTTCACTATCTAAATGCCTTTATTGCCGAGTGTTATCAGTTGGCAAGGAGGTGAGGGGGGTTCCCTGGGACGCAAATGTTTGAGAGCCCCTGCCTTAGGCTGTACCTCACAGAGAAGAAGGCTTAGGAGGAGGAGACATGACAACTCGACGGGTAGTGGGACCCTACGATTTCGGTTCTGGAGAGCCAAGTTTATAGGGGGACAAAAGGGGGCCCGCTCGCTTTGTCGACCGATGGAGGAGATGGAGGAGCACTTGGTATTAGAGGTCCGCACGGGCCAATATCTAAGAACCCGGCCCAAGCCGGCCCGTCGCTTCTTGAGTCCTGGCCCGCCCTCGACTGACGATCCATTTCCAACGGCCGGCCCTGCCCGACACTAATTTTCGCGGGCTTGTTGAAGCCCGCTTTGTTGTCGCCCAGTATGAGGCTGAGCTCACAAGTTGCCCGACATGGGAAGCTCGCTTGTCAGTGCTAAATTTGTTGACTACGGTATGAGACAGTCAATGCCAGGCAGTTAAAAGAAGAAAGTCAACCCCACCGTCTTTTCTTAATTGCGACCAAACCCGCCTATGGAAAAAGACGTAAAAATAAAAATGCAGAGCAACAGTAGACAAAACCGTGTGTGAAGGCTGAAAAGGAAGGGAAGTTTTAGCGCGGCGGGTTCGGACAAAAGACCAACAGAGCCCTAGATTGCCCACTTCCGCTCTTCACAAATGGAAAAAAAAGTGATGGAAAGAATAGCACTGTCCCTTGCTTTTGGCGGTTAGGAAATTGGTTAGGAAAAGCAGTCCTGCAAAAACTACTTTGACAGAAGGAGATTCTTTTCACCCATATTGTGGATGCACTCACTTGTACGTACAGACGGTTTACGCTCGTGAGCGTGCGCATTGTTTAGGTGCGTCTGTGTGTGTGATCACTGAGCGAAGGCAACTTTTTGCCGCCGGCGGTGCCAGCGTCAAAAACGAACGCCACATCGCTGGAGCTCTGGAAGAGCAATTGATGCATGCCTACACTGGCATGCATCAGACTGTAACTTCAAATTTGCGACTTGCATAGAAGTTCTAGGAGCCAACTGAAATTGTTCGTAAAATGTCTTAGAAGAGTGTTTTTGCGGGCACTGCGCTTGGAAGGCTTTTTGAAGGGTAGAGACCCCGCATTATGCAATCAGGAACTTCAGAAACATGAGTTGGAGAAGCATAACTAACAAAATCTGGCATCTGTCGTCTAACGATGTGGTGCCCTGACTATGATATCTGCAGCGCCAGGATGTTTGGGGGATACTGTTGCTGCTGGAGCTCCACTTTCTTCATAGTCTTTGGCAAACAATAACGGAGGAAGCTTTATGGCGCTTCGAGGCAAAGGAGGTAGACAAAGTTCCTTAGGTCCTTTTTCTTCCAAGTTCACACTGCTGGAGCGGTGAGGAGAGTAGGGAAAGCGTACCAATGGACGCACCACAAAGAGCTCAGTTCCAACTGGGGAGGGCAGACAAAGTCCTCACAGAATAATATAAGTGGGTGCAATTGTCAGAGAAAGGCACCGTTATATGTAGAGCCCTGCGGATCGGTTGCGGATGTCAGGGGCTGCGGATGCGGATATCCGCGGATCTCGATCTAAATTTTTGCCTGGTGGCATTCAGTTTGTCGACTGAATGCCATCGGGTATCAAAAAACCTGAGACGTTTCGTCACACGCAACCCTGCTATTTTCGTAACTTTTTGCGTCTTGCCTGGATTACAGGGGGGAGGGGGGCATGGTTTAGTTAGGCGCACCTTAGTGAATCGCGCGCTAGCTTTTAGAGGCTTAGTGAAGAAATGCGTTGTCGACAAAACGTCACAGGGGCATGTAGCGACAAAACGTACAGCGTTTACGAACCATGTGTCCATGAAATATATGTTCATGAAAAGTTGTCCACAAAACGCCTTTCGAAGAAACGATAGGGATATTAAGAAAGATATGATTTTCACTGAAGATCGCTTCAGTTAGTGTGTTCCATCTCATCAAAAATGCTATCTATAGAAAAAGTAAAGAATGCAGGGCATAAATCGTCTCGAGAAAGCTAGTACATTGGCAGGGAACGAGCGGAATACTTTCTCCGGGCAGAGTGTCGCGGACTCCTAGGACAATCACATGTGGTTCGGATACGGATGCAAAGTATGCGCATGCAGATCGGGTACGGATACAATAATGCAAAAAGTTTGCGGATGCGTTCGGATGCCGATACAAAGTCTGCGGATGCGGATAATCAAACAGTTATCCGCGCGGGGCTCTAGTTATATGTAGGTGGTTCACGTCTTCTTGTTGCCACATATGTTCGAGATTTGCGCGAGTGCTTTGTCCTTGCGTTACTTCACTGTGCGACATTGTCTCTGTCTTTTTCAGATTTGTCCCCTACGTCGGTATTGTAACAATATTAATGAATGATTATCCAAAGTTTAAGGTGAGTGAGCGCTTCTATCTTTGAATCATTTGTATGTTTGGAGGCAGAATACCTATAGCAGAAAGGAGTTTTTGTGCTTGACCCTCTTTCCACCTTATGGTTTTGCAAACATAAATATGCTGATAAGTCGCAGCACCGTTTATTTTTATCTCTGCGAGAAATAGGCTTAACACAAATGTTGCCCATAGGATCATAATGTTTTACCCCTGTTTTGCTCTTAACTAACAATTGACATTGGAATCTTAAATATCTCATGTCCCCACATCGCTCTACAGAATGAAGCATTCACTCATATGCTTGCATGGCCTGCTCCTAATTTTACCGTCATATCGTAAGGGCATCTGCTTTGGTTTGTGAGGTGTGATTGCGTCGCTGGTGTAGCTTCCAAGGTGTCTGCTCTAGCTTTTACCATGGTTGCATTTGTGTAAATGAGGCCTACTCGAGGAATAAAGGAAATGCACCTCACAGTCTAGACTTAATCCTTATGAGAGATATTTGAATAGAAAAGCAGATAATTGCCGCGAATGAGCGTAACTTTTTGAGCGAGCGTTTCTGCCAGCAAACCACGATCGACTTTCACGAGATGCACGCGGTAAACTCGCATTAATTTAACCTCGGTAAATTAGGCTTTTCCCTTAATTCGGTCGTGTTGAAAAGTCCCTCGGGTGCCCATATATTTCGATTAAGGATAATTAATTTGAATGCAAAAAGACTCCGTGTCGTATAATTGGAGCTGAGCGAGTGAGCACGGGCTCACCCTAGACTGCAGCACGGCAGCGAAAAAGTCCACACGGGAAAAATAAGCCCAAGGGGTAAAGTTTGCGTCTTTTGTGACAAAGCCGAGCTTGTGCACGTGCCTTTTTGAAGTTTCAATAAAAATAATTAGACTTTTTTTACAGCGATACCTCGTTAATACAAATCCCGTTAATATAGATAACCCGCTATATGGATGCAATTTTTGGGGACGAGCTGGTTGAATATGCCAATTTTTGTCTCATAATTATGGACGGCTTACATAATGGACAATTGTTTGGGGATGGGAGGTGTTCATAGTAACGAGACATTGCTGTGTACCGAATAATGGCCCAAAATATGCGAGTGTGGCAACACACATCTTTCTTTACGCGCTCGTCACTTGTTTTCACCCCTCCTCAAAGTCCGGCGATAAATTAATTTCCTGGACAGGCTGCAGTGTATCCTGAACTTGAAATCGAGTTTGCGGAGTTTCTGTGTCGGACGCAAGCTATTGTTTTTTTGTTTTTGTTCGTAAAATACCACTGCCCTCTCCGATGCTGAAAAGGAGGTCGGGCTCTTCATAATGGGAACGTGCAGTTTACATTCTTTGGTTCAGGGGCTGTTGGCACGATTCCTTCAAGGCCATAGTTGGCAACAGGTTAGGACCCCAGGAGATGCCCTGCCTTGAGTGTGAGCTTTCCGCCTTTGTCACACATGCTGGTGAAGCTTAATGGATGGCAGCAAGCGCACGCTGAAGGCGGAGCACCTACTGGCTGGTTAATTAACCTGTCACCGACTGCACGGAGTTCACCCCTAAGCTGAAAATACAATGGGAGCCAAGTGCCAACCGGACCTTTCATTTCCTCTCTGGGTGCGGGTGTATGCGTGGCGGAGGAGAGACGTAGCTTGCACCTTGCAGTCTCAGCGTAGGGGTGAATGGAGTGGCACCTGAAAGTGCAACCAAAGCTGACCACTCGGTTTACAAGAGTGACGATGCCAGTAAAGTAAGGCCAAGGTGTAAGATACACTCTTTAGGTGAGGACACGGCAGGGCTGAATGTGTGGTGCGAGAAATCAGATAGTGTTTGTTCGACGGGCATTCGAAAGCCTGCATCATTCCGCGGCCACCGTGCCCGTGGCTGACAGTGTCGCTGGCGGCCAAACGGTGAAACTGTGTGAGAGTGAAAAAATGAAAGCCGTTTACAACTCCGTGTAATGCCGAATTAGAGCGCAGCTCTCGAGGACGAGGAGGAGGGAAGGGAACTGAGGGGGGTCACGTGACCTCGGGGTGTCACGTGACCTTGGGGGCGTCGCCGGGTTGCATGTTGCATACAACGCGGCACAGGTTGCATACAACGTGGGTTGCATGTAACTTGGTCTAAATGCAACCTGGGCTGCATGCAACGTATGATGACGCCGGCGGTTTGCATGCAACCTGAGTTGCCTGCAAACGTGCGGTGACGGCGGCGCCGCTCGAGTTGGAAACGGGCGCCTAAGAGCTGTGCTCTAAAAAATTCTCTCGTTGCCATGACACCCCGGTACACCGTGGTCTTTCTGCACATGTGACAACCTTGCTGGAGCGCTGCGCGTGTGGAGCATGAGGCGGCACGAGCCGTCTTGTGCACTGCTGCCTGCCTTCTGCGTCTTACACCGTACGACGAGTCATCTGGCGGCGCCACTTGAAACCATAGTGAAAGAGAGAGTGAAAAGCAAACTTTATCGGCACGTCGTGAGGAGCGCGCTGTCCTCACCTGAAGAGTATTATCTTACACCGTGAGTAAGGCCAAATTCTCACCTGGCCCGCAGCAGGCCAGAGTCCACATTCCGTGGTTTGCAAGACCGGCGCAAGCAGTGCGCAACATGACCAGGAGGTAATGGCACGCTCAGCGACGGCAGTTTTGACTCGAGATGCGTAATCTCGAATAAAAACTGTAAAATTTAGACGCAGTGGGTCGGTAGGGCATCTCTCATATGTTTCAAATCAATCGTAGACGGTCATTTTTACGCCTTTTCTAAAAATTAATGCGTGCAACTCACTCGTTTGAAATCGTAACCCAAACAACTCATTCATTTTGAAGTGGATCTCAATCGTAACTCATCATATATGCTGCCTCATTACACGAAGGTATATGCATTTCTAAAATGGATTTGTCCCGTAAGGACCATTTCTGTTGCGTGGTCTCTCAAGCTACACATTTTTTCAACTTGACTAGAGTGACTATTGATGCAATATTTTGCCAAAATACTTTGAAAATGGTACGAGGCTAAAATATTACAATTTGGAAATATTATTCTTTTTTTTTACTACCCCTTTAGAAGACAGCTTTTCCATGTGCTAAGCCTCTTAGCAAAATGTCAGTGACTGGGAGGCTCCTTTCCATGTTCCTTATTTGGGCCTCAATTCCCTTTGTGTTTCGGTTGGAATGCTCGAGATTACACCCAGAGATGTACTCCCCTGTGCTCGGGTGGAGTGAAAAAGGAGTTTTGTGTCTTCCTGGTTGCAGTTCCTCGTTCTGGGCTGCCTGGGTCTCTTTGTGCTGGTGCACCGGGAATAGGTTGCCCGTCTGTGCGATTCATCCATCTCATGTCAAGAGAGTCATCTGCCGTGGCAGCCCGAGCCAAGCACGGCTGCCAGTGGGGAGCAAGGAGGACGTGCTGTCTATCAAAAAGAATAGCGCAATTTTTTCTACGGGTGATTGGAGCACGAAAATGGCGATTAAATGCAACATTCTTCTTTTTGCTTGGCCTCTTCTTTACTTCTCCTGCGTTGCACTTCAAACTTGCAACTCTTTCTTTAGAAAAACTTGCAAGTTTAAAGTATTTTCTAAAAAAAAAAAAAAAACTTTTATTTCTGTTATTTTTTATTTACAGTTAGGTAATATAGTATGTAATATATTGTTTGTATGGCCGCTATTAAGACTCGAATCTCGTGCTGTAAGAGTTTTGAACGGGACTCCGCATAGACGCTCAGCTGAGCAGAATTTAGACCCATGTAAAGTTTCCTATTTAATGTTAGTATTTATTTACTTGGCACTGGCGTGATTTGCAAGGGGTGTGACCTTCGCTCTTCGTATTGACGGGGAAGATGCGTAACATGTAGACTCCCGGACAAACTAAAGTTAAAGAGGAAAAAGTCTAAGTGACCCGGCATGAATCACTGAAAATAGAAATGAAAGTTAAACACGTGACTAACACGTTTGATGCCTTACACGCTACGAAATGCTCGTTATTTTACGAAAGAGTCCGTGCGCACACAAACAGTGCTTCGTAAGCGTCGGATACTAAATCGTACATATGTATATGCACTGCATATGTGTTTGGCATAAGAAAATATGACAATTACCATATCAAGTTCCGTATTTCAAACGCAAAGCCGAAAGCAAAAGGCCCCAGAAGAATTTTCTAACGATCTGCATTCCCCCGTATTGGTAGAAGTAAGAGCTGGGGGGGGGGGGGGGGGGGTGCCCGCACTTGTGGATACGAACTTTGAAGTAAATTTTTTTAAAGTACACTACTACAAATTTTATTAAGGTTTATGTTTGGATATTGAGGTAACTGGCTAACGGTAAATAGAAAACCTTACACAGGCCAAAATTCTGCTCAGCAGAGCGCCTGTTCGAAGTCGCGTTCAAAACGCTCATAACACCAGATTCGAGTCTTAAAAACAATATATTACAACATCTGTTGGTAGTTCCTGATAAACTACTTATTAACTAACTGTGAATAAAAAAAAAAAAATCTTTTTTTTTTTTTTTTAGAAAATTGACTTTAAATTTGCCAGTTTTTCGAAATATTCGTTTTTCAGGCAATGTGGCGCATTATACACTTATCGCAAAATATACAAATTCTACCCAAAAGAAAGAGCTTAATTGGAGCTTTACGGTGATATAAAGATTATAACAATATGTTGATTAGGTCACACAACACAACTTGCTGAACTTCGTCAAATATCGTCGCAGAAAAAACTTCGTCAAATATCGTCGCAAAAAAAAAAAAATATATTAAGAATGTTATGACTTAGACGCTTAATTAGCATAAGAAAAGCATATATCGAATGTGTTCCCAAAAAGTTATATTAATGTAGCGTAAAAAGTAGGGAAATGGGATGGAGTGAAAAATGGCTCCCCCGATAAGCTGGAAAAACGTCAGTTTCCACCTTGGCCGGTTCAACGGTCCATAACTTGAGAACAAATATTCCGACGAAATTGCCGTTTGCGCCTTTTTTTTATTATAGGAATTGCCCCAAACATATAATTTTGAAAAAAGAACAACTAAAAATTCGACCTAAAATTCGTGTTTGAGATGAGATGAAATCACCCATAAATAAATGTTCCTTTACTTTGCCCCTGTACTTGGGCTGTCCCACTTGTGACTCTCTCTTTATAGCATTACGTTTTTCCGCGTTAGGAATTTTCCGGGTCCTCCGTGCCTCTGGTCGCCCGACTATGATCCCAAGGAACGCAGAACACTCTTGCACAAGAAGCGTACATCCCTCCTAAGAGAACTACGCGCTAACACCGCCACAATTATCGCTCCACCCCAATCCCTCTCACGGGAGGACAACCTCCATTCTCCGCAGACTTCAAACCAATTCGATCGTGACTCCCCTCTTTCGCCACTGTGTCCAGGGCCCTCCCGGACGCCCCAAATGCCCCAACTGCGGCGAATACCCCTGTCTAGAGCGCTGCCATGTGGCAATGCTCCTACATTCAACCTACCCTCCTATCCTCTATTTCCTCCCAATACCCCAGTCTCTAGCCTCACTCATGGACGGACTGGCTTAGTCCACCAACCGATGCCCATATTCTCCTGCGGGCACTCATACAGCACGTGAAAAACGTGTTGGGTGAGGACTGGTAGGTGACCAAATACAACTGGGCGCCGGACCTTGGCGTATAAATAAAGAACGTTTTCTCTCTCTCTCTTCATAGCCCAGACGGTATTTAACTTGTTGCTCGAGCAGCATGCTGCTTTTCTGCTTCGGCGTTTTTGTTTAAAACAGATACAAAAAAAAAAAAAAAAAAGAAATAGCTCCTTGCCAATTTATTCACGCCGTCAGCAGCATTGATTGTGTGAGATGTAAATCTATAGTAGTGTTCCTGCATTTGTGGCTAAATTTCTTCATTTTCATACACCAGCTGAGATTCATGCGTTGCCTGCCCTGTCAACCATGCCTGAAATGTTGGTTCAAGTTTCGCCTGCAGCTACAGGCCGCGCCTCAATAAAGTCAGATATGAAAATTTACACTTCCTACGAAAAACGCGCATAAAAAATTAAATAGAAACGACGGCGCCGACAGCTAACGTCGTCCCAGCCTCCACAGGGCGAGCGGGGCGAGTCGGAGCAAAATTCTGTCCTTAGCGTGACGTCACCCCGGTTCGCCGCCACGCAAACTTCTCGGGGCTAATACTTTGTTTGAGCGTAAGTCCAGCTGCAGCCGACGCTACGAACTCGGGACCAATCAAGCAGCGTCAAAAGCTCAACTCGCTGCCTTTTTTTTTGTTTTGTTTATGATTGGTTCAGCGATAATAGAACACGGGCAGTAACACGATGAATGCCATGACGGTGCCCTTTCCACGCTGTTCGAGTGCTCCCATCATCTCGTAAGTATAGAAGCCCGAAAAAAAAAAAAAAGTAATGTTTTTTCTTGGGAAAAATATGTAACTTTATTTATTTCGAGTAACGTAAGTACGTCACCCCTTGCTGGTTTGAAAATGTAACAAATGCGTTACTACGCTACTGAAAACAGTTCCGCGTTACCGGTAACGCCGTTACTTGGAACGCGTTACCGCCAACACTGAGCCCAAGCCACTCAAGCACAAGAGTCGCAAAGTTGATAACGCGAACAAAAGACAAACCAAAGCGCGAGATTTAGAAAAGGAGGAAATACACTAATGCAGCAAGGGCTACATTCAGTTGTGCAGCGGGACTAACGGCAGCACATCCTGCCTTCTGAGTTACGTGCAGAGAGATGTATGAACAGGAACCGCCGTGAACACACCTAGAGCTCGAAGCCATTTTTCTCGCCACAAGGAAGAGAGTTGTCCACGAATTTCCCGCATCGTGCGAAAAATTAATCATACTTACGGACAACCGGAAAGCAGTAAAGACACTCGGAACGACACCTAACAGAGGATCGATAAGCGAGACGATTACGACGCTGTGTAGGAGTATCGAAACGGATAAAGGGAACAAGGTGACAATGACTTGGTGCCAGGACACTGTGCCAACTCCGGTCATGAGGGGTCAGATAAACTGGCGAGCGCTCCCCCCCACGAATCCCCACGAGAAGCGTATCACTCGCAGGAAGGCTGCAAAAAAGAGACTCGCAACTGTGATACCCCCGACGGCATCCTTTACGGAAAGGCCAGCCCAGAGGAGTCCAGGTTCTCATCCATGAAGCCCGGACCGGGGCAGCCGTAACAAAGGACATTCTTCAAAAGTGGACCGCATACATCCACAAGAAGGGTTGCAAGACCAACAAGCTATGGCGCCTCTGTTCCACCCGTGATCCCGCAGACGACTTGCCGCTCGTGTACCCGCCCCCCCCCCCCCCCCCCCCCCTCCCCCCCAACTGGCTCTAGACTTAATATACAACACATAATTTGGGACTGCCCGGGACTACAGCAGGACAGAGAAAAACATAAAGAAAGAATAAATCCACTCGTGCACGATTCGATTTACCCACCAGTGGCGGAAGATAAGGTCTTCACGTCAATAATACCTAGAAAGAAGCGAGCTGGTGATGATTCATGGTAATAAAACACGAGACTCAGGAACACAGAAGGGTGTTGTGTTGTGTTCGTCCCCTTCTGTGTTTTTGAGTCTCGGGTTTTACTACCATGAGTCTTCACGTCCCTTTGGGACATCGCTCAGGCAAGCGGAATACTCCAACCTGGCCTCGACACTATGCTTTTCGAAAATAAAATGTATTCATTCATTCAAATGCTCACGAGCAACCTCTACTTTTCGACCCGTCGGTCGCAGACGCGTGACGTAAACAAAGGGTGCTAAAGACACCTCGCACTCACTAAAAGCGGCAACACTGTGACACTGGCGTCATGAAATCGATCGCACGAGGAAACACGCGAAGATGGGTGAGCAAATCGAGCCACCAAAGGTGTAGTGGCGGAACCACTGTAACGCGTTATTCAAAGTCCCCCCCCCCCCCTCCCCCCCCCCCCCCCCCTCGTAAGCCCAGGGGAGGCTGGCTGCGTGGCTCACAAAAGAAAGTACGCCGCCGCGTGGCGCGTTGTCGCGGAAGAGCGCGGTTGTGTCGTGCTTGAAATAGGCCAATCAGGGCGCCAGGATTCGCCCCATGGGTTTTCTCTCCACACACACACACACCTCCGGCAACCGCCGTTGCGCGAAACACCCACGAGGTCCCGTGGTCGCGCTCTGCGGACAAGCACCCTCGCCTCCCAGTTTCCGTTGTTGTGTCTCTGCGCCTCTACATAACAGTTTGCGTACGTACTTCCGCTTCTTCCACCGCGGGTGTGGTCACGGGCCCACCAGCGTTCTGAAAGAGCGTTTCTGCCGAAAAAAGAGCATGTCTCTGTCCTGCTTCAACACATGCAATGATCCCACACAAGCGTTCCACCAAAGCACACATCTTCTCACGCATGTGCCCTACATCGATTCCGTTGAAAGCAATTTGACGTTTCGACCTGAGAGAGACCTTTTTCAGTCTTGAAAAAGGTCTGTCTCAGGCCGAAACGTAGACGGACTTTACAAATAA